GCAGACATTTGTTAAAAGTTTGTCAAAAAACAAAAAAAACAGATTAAAAATATGTTTCTTATTTACCTGTCCCTCTGCAAACTCCTTCTCTTCTCTAAGCTGCTGAAAAGCTGCATCACCTGAATGAACACAAATGGTGAGTGACAAATAATGTATTATCTACCAAGGTCAATAGCAATAGTGTCAAACCTGCAGGGTCGTCCTGGTCTTCATTTGAGACCTGTTTTCCCTTGAGCCTTTGCTCTAAACTTTGAACCCGACTCTGGAGCTCAGCTTTATCCCTCTCCAGTGTCTCCACTGCCCTCTGAAGAGTCTTTGCCACTGCACTCTCCCCCCGCAGCACTGCAATCTGTACCATTCATTGTATCACAGAGAGTAAACAAACATTCAAATATTTAAAATGACTGACACTGGGATGGATTTACCTCATTTCTCAGGGATTCTAGTTCCCTGTCTTTGTCAGTTAAACCAGTTTCTCTGCTCGACTCTTGGCTGTTATGTTCCTCACAAAGCTAAGTGAAAAACATACAAAAACACCTATTACGAAAGTCAATCTGTATCTATAATCAATTCTGTCTAGCCAAACTTTATATTTACATGTTTGAAAACTAGGGCTGGGCAAAAAAAAAGTAAAATTAATCGCGTTAATCGCATGTTATACGCAAAACCAATTAATGAATTAAAAAGTAGAGTATAGTGCACTTTTATTGGAAATGTAAATGAAAGAGCCATATATTTGTTGTGCAAACAGCATTTCTTTCACAGGGGAACCCTCAGACCCTTCCAGGTATTCAGTGAAGGCTCAAGAAAAAATATTGAATGGACTTTTGTACTACTAATATATTTTTTTAATTTTTTTATGCAGTGAGTAATGAACACTACACTAGTAATAATTTCTAGATCATTGTTATAAACTTGGACTGATATTTCTTGGGAAACAAAGGTTTAATATAATGGAATGGAAATGGACCAATCACATTTTTTCTTCCAATGGTGTCTGGGTAAATCAGTGACTCCCCCTGCAGCACTGAACTAAAGAAATAAGATCAGCTCAGAGCGCACAGCAGGTCGAGCCCGTGGTCGGGCCCGTGGCTTGCGGAGGCTCAGACATGCTGCATCTCACATGGTCAGAAAAAAGTGTAAAGAAATGACATCAAACTTAAAGAAACGCTCGCGATAGACTTTTTCAAAATAAAATCCAGTGAGCAACAGACGTTTACAATTAAATAAATAAGTAAATAATAAAAACTGTGTTAACAACGTTATAATTATTGTCGGCGATAATGACTTAATTAGTTAAGGCAAAATTAACGCGTCAATGCCCGGCCCTATAGAAAACACACATGATCATTACCTGACTGCGGGAAGCCACATTCAGCTCTTCACTGTGAATTGAAAGAAATGATTCAGAATAGTGCCACAACCAAGTCATTAAGTCAATTCTATTGTGGATCTTAACATACATCTCAAAGACCTCAACAACTCAAAATATATCTAAACAAAACCCAAGATAGTATGTATGTAATGTAAGGATTTCTTAATAAACTGAAATGTTTAAAACATCCAAATGTAATTTTATTAATGTAAAATACATTCTGGACAGTACTACTTCAATTCACTTTAAGTTGCTTTAAGAGATATTTTGTGCAGAAATTGTTCCTTAATACAGGAATATAATTCCCAATAATGTTATGATATGCATAGCATGATCTTCCGTTTTATCAACAGAAAACCATATATAAAAAACTGCTAAATATTGTATCAAACTATATTGCCTGATTTTAACTGTGGGGTATTTCTTCTTTCTGTGCCTTTCACAATTCACAAAAGCTCCATTCATTCATACAACAAAGCTAAGCTCTAAGCCCTGTCACAGCCCAAGTCTCAAAGGAAGCCGCACACTCTAATGTCACTGTGCCGGCAGGCGGCAGCGGCCATGTTGGAGCCAGGCGGTCCAAGGAGGCGAGCCCCTTCAATTACATAACAGTAGCATTTTTTGTTCATGGATGCAGCCGCAAGTGGTGACTGATGACAGTAAGAATGACAATAGGATATGAAACAATACAGTGAAATTTGTCCACAGTTGCGCTGTTGTGACTCAGGGGGTGTGACGAGGATATGATTCCCACATTATGCACACTCATTCACAGCAGCACATAGAGCTATTAATAGCTGCAGTGAAAGGAGCCAACCCAAATACCAAATCAAACTATGAAAGGATTAGTCTTACCTAGCACTTTATACATCACTGTAAATAGAGTTGGTTTTAAATAAACGTAATTGCATCTGACTGTACTGAATGGGTGTCTGAGTTTGTTAAAAGTAAACTAACCATTGATCTGGTTTTAAACCATACTGCATGTGCTGATGGCAGGTCACACATAAGAAAAAAAACAACACATTACTCATTTGGAGATCTTACATTTCCTTGCAGAGTGCTCCAGTGTGCTGGTTTTCAGAGTTGTTCCGCTCCCTTGATAATGAAAGTTCCTCCTTGTATTTAGCATTCTGCTGTTTCAAAGCCTCAAGCTGCAAAAAACATAAGGGGATAAAAAAGGACTGCTTTGTTTTTGGTACATCTGTTATGCAAGAAATACAAAGTCTTAAACCTTATCAAGTACTACTATAATGCACAAAAATGACACAAGGAATTATTTTTCCTCTTTCATTGTTCTCTGATTCAGCAGAAACAAGAGACTGATCACAACAATGCGCAGCTAAAAATACATTCCGCTCAAGACCAGTGTTACATTACAGTAACTTTTCATCCAAATCACTGACAATTCAGACACGTGTAGTGGCGATCTGAGGCTTATTAAAATAGCAGCATTCAATAATTAAAGAGGACACACAAGTCTGATGGCAATCCAGGAAATCACCCGATATACTGTACATTAGAGACACTGTACACACCTTAATGTGTCAATACTGACACTGTAAACCCTGTATGCTTGCACAAAACACATTTGAAGTGATTAATCAGCTTTGCTGTTTCAAAAACACTGTGCAATGAGTTTAATTTGAATTGCGATCCTAATAGTCAATGTCAACTGTGAGAGGTCTACGATAAACCCTCAGTAAAAACGCAAGGTTTGTTGTTCAAATGTAGGAGGAACAAATTAAGACTATTTTGGCATGGATTAAAAAGTTGACCAAATTTGATATATATATATATATATATATATATATATATATATATATATATATATATATTTTTTAATATATTTATTTTATTTTTATAAAAAATAATTTAAAAAATGGATCAATATTGAGGAAAAATGTGATTATTAATTTTCATATCACCCTCTATATTCTATGTTTCAAATAATGTTCCAGACATAAAAGTGGTCACAACAGCCAAGAAGAAATGTTGACATGCACAATACAGTACAGGGGTCATTCTTTGGGAACAAAAACAAACTCGAAAGTAACCCCACAACAGCAGCTGTATATTTTTGCAGTTATACTAAAAATATGTTTATTGTGGTAGTAGTAGTAGTAGACTTAGCTGAATAACAGTATTTGTGCTAAATTGAGCGTGTCCTACCTGGTAATGTGATAAGTAGGCGTTGGAGGAGTAACCCTGATGCAGAGCTATATCCATACCCCCAAAGCTCACCCTTGCCGCCTAATTGTCTGCAGTCAGTTCTCAGTGCCTTTGATAGAGCAGCAGTGATGCTCTAATGTCAAATGTAGAACATGTACGTGCCAACACAAGCTGGGCATCAATAAAGCATTAGCTCTCCTCCCCCGCCATGCAAAGCTGTGAGAGGGAGAGCAGCTCTCTCTCTCTCTGCTTACGTTAAAGACACTGCCATTATGTAAGTCACAACAAGCTCCTCCTAGGCCACCTCTCGCACACGCACACGCACACGCACACCAATCTAGGGTTTTTCACTCCCATTGTAGCTAACAATGTTTCTGAAAAAAGAAACATTGGTTAGAAATACTGTCTATGCCCTTTTGTTTAAATGATATCGTCGTGTCTCACACTTCAACAAACCGCACAAATCAAAAACTCTATGGTGTGTTCAATCATGCATTTGTTAATGATATGTCCTTCTGGCACACGGATGGCACATTCTAACATGTGCAGCATTACGTCACATCTCCTGCACCCGCGGGCGCAGCAGAGGGGGGCAGCAGATGTAAGAGCATCCTCTCACTATATGTGCTGTGACTTTAATGTGCACAGTGTGTCTAAATATAAAGTACGAGATATCACAACAGCAGCAAAAGACTAAATACCTACAATAAAAGGATACAAAATGAAACATGAATGGTTGCCTATACCATTACGATATAATATCCTGAGAAGAATTCACTAAATGCTAATGTTAATAACCTTAGCAACAACCAACAGCTTGGATGGCAACTGAACTTATCACAGATGTTGCAGATGCACAATAAAAAGAAGCAAAAAATAAGTCACTTCTTTTTATATATTGACCAGGGATGCCATTTAAAAAGTGTATGTACAAATAGAATGAAGTAGAAACCCAATCTGGGAGAAAAATACACATATCAACTAATAACTTGCACTAACACATGCTCTTGCTATAAGACAAAACACCAAAATTCATCTATTCATATAACTCAACCACAATAGCATCCAAGTAATAATAAAAAGGTAGGGATGAGAGGTAAAATTTTTTACCTGTGTTTGCAGGGCCTTATTCTCGACAGTAAGCTCCACAAGAGAAAGTGAATGCTTTTCTGTTTCCTCATTTGCCTTTCCAACAGTAACAAAAAACAAGACAGATGTTTATAAATACTTGTAGAGGTCATCAAGACAATAGAATAGTAAAAATAAACATGGCTTTTCAGTAAACTGTACATATACATATATACTGTATCCAAACCTATACTTAAAATTTTCTCTGTACATGTAGAGATATACATCTGTTGGGGAGCCTAAAATACCAATAAACCTTTAGTGTAAATAGATAACTGCTAAAAACATGACTACACAGCTCTCTAGGTTTGTGGTGAAAAAACGGGTACGTTTTTAATAAATTTAATACATAATATTGGGGGAGAAAATCAAAATCTACCCCACATAGTGGTCCAAAAATATCAGCAGAAATGATTGGCCATCAGTTACTCAGATTATCAACAATTGGTACTGGCATCGGCCATGAAAAACCCTATATCGGTCGATCAACTAATCTGTAGTAGTATTAGACATTAAACTCACCTGTGTCAGCTGGACCTTAAGCTCACTCTCTCTGTGCTGGCTTTCCTCTTTCAGAGATTGATAGTTTTTATTTGTCTGAATAACACTGTGCTCTAACTCTGAAAAAGAAAAACGCAAAACTTGAAAGATATTCAAATGCAATATTTCTTAATCAACATGAAACTGGTTTATTTACCTTGCATTGTTTTCCTATTTTCCTCTGCAAGCAGCTCAGCCTCTTTTCTCTGAAACAGGCAAACATCTGTGTGACTCTGGGGAGTGGAGCTAAACATTCTTTTACCTCGGCACCAATTAAATGACTGAATCTACAAAACATGCAAGGCACCTATATAAAATAATCCAATAAATGAGTCTAGTTTCTCATTGTCCACTAGCAAAACAGAGCACTTTGCAAAATGGGGAGACACAGGTGAAAGTTGTGATGGCATGCATTTACAAAACCCAGATATATTAAATCACCAGTCATTGTCCAGTTTCTATAATTGTATCTTGGGTCCTCACCATGCTGGATAACTGCTGCTCAAGTGAAATCTTATATTGCAGTGCAGACTGAAGCTCCTTCTGTTTGCTCTCCAGATCCACACTCAGTTCGCTGATCTGTAGACACACCAGACATAATCATATACATTAAGTAAATAAACCTATAAACCACAAACAGAATAGCCTTTACATATTGACCAGGGATGTCAATTATAAAGTGTATGTATAAAAATGTTATGTACATGACTTTTCACATCAAGTATATGATCTACAAAGACAACATGAAAATGACTGGTTTGGTCCAAAAACTGAACTTTGTTGATCAGAGCTTTCAGAGATGAGGCAAAAAGTCATCTGAAAGTGTGTGCTTTGTTCGTATGTAAACTTATAAATGAATCCCCAGATAGCTCAGCCTATGCAAAGTCTATTTCAATTCATTGATTAAAGGTGCACCGTGTAACTTTTTGGTTGGGGGTCAGTCACCTGCTTGTTTCAATGGACAAGTCATTGCTCTGCACAGAATGTTCCACAGTATGAAATTGAAGAGCTCTACCTTAAATTAACTCAATTACAGGCAGATTTACTACTCAAAAATACCAAGAAAAAAAGAGATTCTGACTGTGAGCGGGATTCCCTATCTGTAGATCTGACCTGTAACTTAACCAGGTTTGGTCTCTATGAAGATAGAAAGGTTTAATAATATAGTGAATCATTCTGGAGAAAGCAATAACATCTCTATGGAAAAAAGCATTTGACAGAAGCTCCAACAGAAAACTTGCACAATGCACCTTTAAATAAACAAAAATAAATGACAGTTGTTTTCCACTAGGGGGATTGGACCTTTTTCTCCTGGGCTTGAACCTGTGTTTTGAGGCTGCTGATTTGTTGCTGAGAGAGAGACACAGCATCCTCCTGTTGCTGGACCACTCTGAGCCGGAGCTGAAAATCAGACACCTCTCGCTCCAGCTCCATGATGCGTGATCGCTCCGACACAGTGGCCACCTTGTGAAATATAGGAAATGTCAATATTTGTATTGTAATCCATCACCACAGCCACATTATCAATTACTCTGTCAATCAATAGGTGCTATATTTGGTTGCCCTTCAAGTTTCCCCAAGCAACATACAACTTTTAGATAACCTTCTTACATTATTAGCAGTAGTAAAAGTCAAAATACAAATGAATCAGTACAATAAAGTAGTTAGTAATTGAGGTGTTACTATTACTACTAATTATATTCTTCAAAAAGATCACCATATTTATTTCTAACATGGTGATGAAATATTTGTATTGTGACATGGCCAGCATTACCCTAGCGTCCTCTAAATCCCTCTGGAGTTTTTCAGCTTTGGTCTTTTCAAAAAGCAGACTCTGCTCTAGCTCCTTTATGTGGGCATGCTCCAGCCTCGTCTGCGTCTGTTAGTAAAATAGAGCAGGAAGAAAGAAGAACAGCCACCAGTGCAAAAGAAGCATGCCAAAAAGGGGACAAAACACAAGTGAATCGGAAAGCACACAGATATCCAGCAATTCATTAAGTGTTATAAAGTAATTAAGTTGCAAGTGACAAAAGTTAAAAAAAGCCACAAACAAGCCAGTGACTTCAAAACTTGTAAACATTTTAAAGGCTTAATGCTCAATGAGCTTACAAACAAATTAATCAAATGCATTTACTCAAATATTAAAAAGGTTATTAATAATGTAACATTTATATAATAATAACATTTATAACTGAAATTAAGCTATTTTATCTGGATAAAAAAAATGCTAAATTAAGTACACCAAATGCATTCCTCAATATATTCTGTAAGCAAGACAAATGCATTTACCTCCAAGTCTCCTTTGGTAATGCATGCCTCTTCAACACGAAATTGCAAATCCTCAACTTTCCTGTTTAAGACAGAATTTATTAATTACCTTTTACCACAAAACTGACCTAAAAAACAAACCAAAAATTACACCTAGACAATCATATTTTTACATAATTTTTAATTGAATCAATTAAATTTATGAAGAATCAAAAAATAAAATACACAAAATAAACATACCTTTTCTCTTCTTCAAGTTGATTTAGCAGTTCCACTTTTTCTCGATCTGCAGCTTCAACTAGTGAACGCAGTTGATCCAGTTTTGCCTCCATATCTATGGCATACTAAAAAAAAGAGAAAAAAAAAGAAAAGTTGTTAATAAAAAGCACAAATCTGTAAGTAATATGTTGATATAATACTGTTAACCATGCTTGGGTTACAGTGGTCCAAGTTTGTTGTATATTTATTGAGTGTGTCTAACCTGGTCTCGACATTTCCTCAGCAGAACCAGTTCTTGCTGCACCTCTCCTGCATGGCTTGTGGCCTTTGCAACTTCACATCTTTCCAGATCCCGCTCAGCTAAAAGTTGCTCAATGTGTTGCTGCTTCTCCTTCAGAGCTTCCTGCAATGCTGTGGTACCAGAAATCTTGCGTGCGTAGCGTGCTGATGTCTCTGTCAACTATATTGCATGCATGTTAATTTTGCCCAGTTGGTTTATTTTTAACACTCATGAGTGAGTGTACACCTACCAGTCCTGCTCTGCTCGGCTTTCCGCTGATTGATGAAGTGGCAGAGCTGAGAGAACTGATGGAGGAGGCACTGGGACTCCTCATGACACCGGACCTGCGGCGTGAGCACTTTGTCTTTGTAGGCGTTGTACAGGGAAATCCAATACGTGTTACCTTGTGGACCGGGGCAAACAGACCATACCGTGGCATGCACTGGAAATATCTAAAATAATAGGTCATTAATAGAAAATGTATAACTTAAGTCCCCTGAAATCTTTGATAAATTACCTTGTTCCTGCCACAGCCCCATCATTTTTGCCAAGAGGTTCATCAAGTTCCACTCCACACCACTCTCCTTTGGCAAAGTCTGTCTCACCAAGAAACCTCACTACACCGGCCTTTGTCCCACCCACCTAAACAAAATAAAAGATATATAAAACAACTTTATGCAAGATTTTGTGCCACAATTTTATTTTATTTTTTTTACCAGCACACGGTCTCCTAGTCTCAACTCTCGTTTGTTCTTCTTTATGGAGTCTGGATCTGACAGGTTAGAAACTGATTCGCTGGTTACAAGTTTTCGTGCAAGTGCACTAGTCGCTTTGATGCCAGATCCCTGAGCTGAAAATAGAGTTATGTCACAATAACAGCTGCACATGTAAAGTACTGATTGTGTTTTTGTGGCAGTTACCAGTTGAGGTAGCAGCAGAGGGTGCAGGCTCATTTGGTGCAGAGCCTCCAGAGCCTTGTGCTGGGCTGGCCTCACCCCCATTGGCCACCTTTTCTGGGAGAGAGGTCCTTGATAACTTTGACGGTCGAGTAAATATTCCTCGACCATCTTCACACTTAAAATACACAACCTCCGCCACAGAACCATTGTTCTTCCCAATTGGCTCATCCAACTCAATACCTGCCCACTGACCAGGGGCAAATTGTGCCCCTCCAATAAATCGTACATAACCGGGTTTGTTTCCATTGACCCAGACCCTCTCTCCAATCTGAAAATCTACAGTGGCATCTTGAGATGGAGATGTTACACCAACAGGGGACTTCTCAGAGGGAATGGACTTTGGTGTACCTGAAAAGGAGTTTATTAACACTTGAGGACAAGCTTTTTAATGCACTATATCAAACAGGCAACTAAGTCATTCTGACCAGAGGATGGGAGTGTCCTTGTTGGTACCCCAGATGGACGTGCTATTTTACTTGGAGGTTTGAGCCCACTGGGTTTCCCAGTGGCACCTGTTCCTTCCTGTTTTTCCATGAGTTATAACGGGTCAGGCCCGATGACGATCCACCATGCCCACAATCCCAGTGTGGACTAAGGCTGAGAAAACAGTGAATAACATTGGCCCCTTTATAATCCAGAAACTTTATACACAGCCTTACAATTGTTAATAATGATGGGCAACACGGCAATAGTTAAGATTTTACTTAAAGCCTACAGACTTGACTACAGCAAGAAAAACAGGCTTTCATGTAGCGGATGCTTGCCCAGACTCTTCCTCTAGTCTAGACATCAACTATTATTTACATATCACTCATTTACTGTAAAACTGTTTTGTCAATGAAAAACGGATAACTGTCAAACCAGTTTTTGGGGTGGGCTATTCAGACCTCAAGAGCATACATACATTAGACAGGTGGACACTCAAACAAACCCACAAACAAGAAATAACTTAAGTGTAGCTATACTTGGAATATTGGTATATGCAGGAATGCGCTATTTTCAAAGCTAACTAGCCGCGGATTAGCAGAATATTACCGCAACCTGGTGATGAAGACATATTGACATGGCATGGCATTTCAGGTACAACTTACATTAGGAAGAATCTGTGGATGCGTATTTTGCGTATTTTGGTAAATTCGCAGAGGCAGAGGATGCGCGGAGCAGATCTCGCTCTCGCTTTTGCTCCGTTAGTTTCATGTTTTTCAGCCCAGCCCAATGACGTCACCTCGGGAACAAATGCTGCCTTTAGGAACACCAGGAAGACTCGTTTTCGTGAGCTTTTGCTCCAACACTGTCAACAATGCTCTCAGGAAAATTACACTTTTTACCACGCGCAGACAAAACTGGTTTTATTATTACACGTAAAGAAAATAAAGAAAGCAAATGAGAACTACATTAGTGTTTATTTTACATTTACTAGTCACACTAAGCGCACACAAACAATTTTACTGTGTGGTACAAACTATTTTGTATAGGTAATAATGGCATACACGGAGTATATTCCAACCATTCCCACTGTTAACGCTTTCGTATTTTATTTCTCTTTATGTGCGATGACTGTTATATCCTGCTTTATCACAGCTTTTTGACCTCAGTGGTGGAGACATTCATTCCAACTGAGTGGGCTTCATCTTTGACTTCTTTCTTTCCCAGTATTTTGTACAAAAGCTTTTTGAAAGTACCACTAAAGGCTGGTGTAGAGAAGTAGTATACGACAGGGTTGAGGACACTATTAAAATATGTGAAACACACAGATGTGTAAAATGCCAAATTGGCTTCTTCAAAATATATACACTCATTATACCACATCTTAAGGACCCACACAGCAATTCGTGATATTGTGCTGGGAAAAAAACAAGTTATAAAAATAAGAGCCACAGCCATGACAAACTGGACGGCCCGCTTGATTTTTCCCTTTCTATCAACAGTCCTGTTTCTTAGTTGCCAAGTTATTCGAATTGTACAGAAGGCAACAATTGCTGTAGGCAAGAAAAACTGAATGACATAAAATGTATTGTGCCAGGTAGAAAGGGGACTGAAACCCATGCAAATGTTAAAACTTTCACATTGCGTACGATTGCTATTGTAGAAGAAGTGCTCATCAGCAAGAAGGTATCCAGTGGCAAGAAATATTAGTGCCCACAAACCAAGAGAAACCCAGAAAGCATAGCCCAAGCCCATTCGGTTGATGGGATTCAGTGGGTGGACAATTTTGAAGTAACGGTCAACAGCCACTGCTGTGAGGAAGAAGATTCCTGCAGCTCGATTTGCAGCCAACAAAAAAAGAAGAATACGACACAGCACATCACCATATAGCCAATTCTTCCCTCGTCTGTAATAGTCAGCTCTAAAAGGCAGGCAGAAAAGGACAATGGAGTCAGCCACAGCTAGATGAGTCAGGTATACAGAGTTGGGCCTCCAGGTGTCTATGTGAAAGATGAACATCCACAAAGCAACAAAATTTCCAAAAAGCCCAAACATGAACTCCAGTATAAGTATAGAAGGAAGGACTTGATCCAAAATAGGGGCTTCGAAAGCACAGCACTTTTCAAACTGTGAATAATTCATTGTTCAATCTGCAAAGCACAATAGCACCAAAGTACACCAATGATGCTTTTACCCAATGTCAACATAGACGTGGTGCATCAGGTGAGCACTTCAGTGTGGATTAAGTAATAACACACACACACAATTTCAGACCAACATACTGAATCATAATTGGTTTGTGCTCTGTGGGGAGGAACCTTTGACCCAAAGGGCAGAAAAACAAGATTAAATGTAAATTGCAATGAGCGAGTCTTCATTAAAATTATTATGGAAAACCACGTTCTCCCACAGGTATAGAGAAAGTTTCTAAAAAACAACCTACACACGGCATGAGGTGCCTGAAATTTAATTAAGTTTCAAATGAATAAAGAGCCAAAACAACATGCTCTAGGGTAAGGGGAACTGGAATTTATTAGCCTAGAGTTTTAGGTGAAGAACAATTGAAAGGGGTTCACATCATACCGCAACTTTGGCAAATGAGAGAAAGCAACCATGAACTATTGAGTGTCCATGTCCTTGGGTTTTATCAATAGTAAAAATAAAACTTTTAAAAAATGACTTGAAGTGTACATTTGGCCAGGTTGTTGCCATTTTCAGGTCGCATCCATTTGACAGAAAGTGCATATTTGGTCTTCACTTTTTGACTTCACCCAGATCATCAATGCTATCGTCATCCACCTACAATGACATGCTTTGGTTAATAGAATGGAGTTAGAATGAGGTCCTTATTGGGTATAGGGGATTATTGAAACTAGCAATAACTTAGGCATGAGAAACACTCAGGTCTTCTTGAGTCTGGATACAAACAGAATTATACAATTTGAATCTTTTATCAAAAAATAGTAAGGCTTACCTCAGGCCACTTCTCCTGAATGACATCAATTATGTCATCGGTAAAATCTCCCTGAATTATAATTTCATCCTCTGCTGTAACTGAGGCACCACAAGAAAATTTCTGAGCAAAGAATCGTTGTGCCTCCTTTAAGTCAATATCTAGAAAAGGATACATAATTGGATAAGTAAAATGTACAACATATATAAGTCACAGGCAATAGGAAATTGTGTACTTGCCAAATGTCCCCAATCCACAAACCCGTGTGACATATTTCTTTTTAGCTCTAGGAATCCTAGCTATAGTAACTTTCTGAGGTACAGTTTTCTTTTTTTGTTTAATCTGTCCTCTTCCACCTGATAATATAAATTTAAAACAAAGCAGACAGATTTTGTTAAGTGTTTACGTGCATACTTTCTGAAGGTGTTATTATGACTACTACTACCTCTTTTTTGTTTCTTTTTCTCCTCCTCCTCAGCTACTGGGGGTGAATCTCCAGTACCAGGTTCTTGCTTGGGGGTATTTGCTGCTGAACCAGTAGGACAAAGGAATGTAAATAAACAATTCATTAATTATTTTTTTTACTTCAGATTATAGTGCAATAATATAGGCTCTACTTTTATTTAAAAATTACTCAAACAAGAGCTTCACATACCAACTGTCATCCTGGCAAATACATCTGGAAAGTTTTTCTCAAGCCACTGCCTACATTTTGCTGGCTCAGGCATATACTCACAGTACTGCAAAGTAGTGAGAAAATAATTAAGTTAAATATGGCACAAACTTTTATTAAAAAGAGTGAAATGCTGTAATGCTCACCTCTGTAGGCAGTGAACACACTGAAATGATAAAAAAAGAACACATTAAAACGATATAAAAATGTAAAATGTTATTCATAGATATCAGGGTGTGTTGTACCTCCACAGTAAAGCACTTTAAGTGGGTACTTTGACTCTGGGTCTGATGGCCCTTGTTCAGATTTATTATCTGAAGAACTCAATTCCATCTCAGTAGTAGCCATAACTAAATACCTTTAAAAACAATAGATGTTGAGAAATATTATATTATTACAAAAACAAACTTTAAACACTAGGCTAAATCTATTACATTATTCTAGTATATAGGACTGTAAGCTCATTCATTTGGTGACATGGAATTTATGACAAGTAAATCATGCAAATACCATCAACAGAACTTCATTATTATTAAATATTTATCAAAGTTTAAATGGATCACTAGAGAAATCTCTAGAAATTTTATAACAAAACTAAAGTGTTAGCAAGTGAGCATATCTACAGTTGAACTCACATATGACTATAACTTGTTGAGGAGTAAAATATATAAAATAAATACCCCGGTTCTTTCCGCTCCATCACTCATACTGAATAATTTTATACAGATGCCTTTTGGGTTACGTGCATGGTAGGCAGCTGTCACCGTTAGCGCATCTCTTAGCAGACATCAGGTAGCCAATGAGCTAATGTACGACTAGCAGCTGAACATGTATATCAACACAAATGAATGATCACGTACCCCAAAACCTCCAATCTAAAACTGATGATTGCGGAGTGGAGTTTCTCGCATTATTGTGGTTGTAGCCACTATCAAACGCTCATTTGTAGTTAGTAAAGCTGGTTGTAGTTGTCGTACTTTGAGCACGCCTTGTAACCTATTCTTCTATCAAGCCTGACTGCATGCACAACCAGTCATACATCCCCTAGTGGTAGGGAGGAAAAGCAGTGGCCAATCTGACCAATAGATCCATGGACCAGTTCCACAGGCTTTTTCTAACTTCCGCTAGTCCTGCTAACTTTTTAAATTATTATCTATTCTTAAAAAAATAGCATAGTAACAGATCGTTTTGTACTTATCGGAATGCAATCTATTCTTATAGTTACTATACCTAGTATTTAAACAGTTATTTGTGTAACGGGATGGACAGCAGAAGTATAACGACGCCTTCACATGGAAAAGCTTATAGACATGGACCAGCAGCATCAAGCTACTTGTGTTTATCTGGTAAGAAAAACAAACATAATTTTGTACTAGTTAAGGTAAATGTGAATGACATTATCCACTGAAATCTAGACCTTGAACAAAAACCATGTCACAGCACTCCCGTCACAAAGGTGAGAAAAACAAACGGTACATAACATATCAAGTCAATGCATAACCATACTATGTTGTGTAAATTTAAAATGATGTGTCTTTTTGCACACTTGTATAGAGTAATGATATTATGCCTGGGGGTAGCCAAATTCTCACACCAGATTCAAGATATTATGGTCCTCACATTTCAACTGCCCCCTTCTTAATACCATCTTTGCAAGATGCACAGGTCAGTATTTAAAGTTTAATTAAGCATGATCCAGTGCTTCCTTGTAAGTATAATATGGTCTGGCACTGCTTAGGAGGGTAAATGTTAAAACGTCTGTATGAATTATAACGTTTAATCATTTATTTATTGGTGATTGTATTTTTTTATTATTATTTTTTGTTTATTTTTATTTTTTCTGAAAAGTTCCCTGTTGCTGTCACCAAAGACCCAATGATCAAAAAATTGAAAAAAGAGCTCCAGCTGCTGGTGACAGAGCTAAAGGACAGAGACAAGGAACTAAATGACATGGCTGCTGCCCATTGTCAGGAGGTTCAAGCCTGGGAGAAAATGCGACAGAAATTGCTAAAACTAGAGCGGCAATGTGCATGCTTAGAGGGTAAGATATAACTTAGTAAATGTCTGTATTAATTTCTAAATTTAAATGTATTTCATGTAATTTCTTATTTACAACATACAATGTTTTACAGATGAGCTACAGAAGCATAATAATGTTATTAGAATCCTGACTAAGCATGTTGTAGTTTTGGAAACCAGAGAAGAAGATGCCCTGGAGCAGCTCAGAGAAACCCAGCTACAGCTCAGGAAGCTTTCAAACAAGGAACTCAATCTGAGCAAAAAATGTCAAGATTTTGAGGTACATTTGAATATTTTGAGACATACCCTGTGCATTTTAGCTCTGTGTACACTATAAACATTTATTTTTGCTGTGTTAATTTGTTAGGAACAGAACAAGAGCCTTAATGCCTCTGTTACTGCTCTCTCCACCCAAATTGGTACTATGCAGGTCAGAGAGGAAGAGCTGAGCTCAATGCTCAAACTAAAGGTACACTCTAATGTTTGTTCTAATGTAATTGGGTTGTTTTTAAAGAATAACTGTTATGATGATGTTAGGAAAAAGATGTGAGTGAAGCTTCAAGCCAGTTGGTGGACCTCACAGGGCATCTCAAGGACATGGAGATATCGTTAAAAGAAAGTTACTCAAAAGAAAGCACACTCCAGACAGAATTGCAGGAACAAAAGCATTACTACACTGAAGCATGTTGTGCCATTACTCAATTAAAAGGTAACATCAAGGGTAAGCACAGTTAAGGGAGAAAGCCAGTAAGTATTTGTTTGACTGCGACTGTTGCAGAGCAACTGCAGCAGCAGATAGCACAAAGCAGCGCCCAAAGAGAGGAGATCATTCGCCTCAAACAGGAGCTTCAATTGGTCAGCCAAAACCAGGCATTGCAAGGTATATTATTATATTTTAATACAGGCATCAGTAAAGGACACTTGAACATTAACTTTATTAAATACTTTACTTTATTTATTTTACATTTTGTTCATTGTAAACAACAATACTGATCTAAAACCACTTAATAGCAGAACCAAACAATTGACAAACACCATTATGACATGGATAACACCTCATCAAAGTTAGTCTCCTTTAAATGTTTACTTGCAAAAACATCATTTGGCTTTTTGCTTGAAGTGTGAAATATGTTTGTTCACCAGATGAGGGAGGCAGCAGTTGGAAAGATGAGCTGCTTGAACTTTTTCGCTCGAAGCAGGAAAGAGCCATGTCAGAGTTGTTGTGTCTTCGGCAGGTATGTTACATATTGCATGATCTATGTTCAAGAGAATAAACAAACAAATTACCCTTGAGAATATAGACAAGTATTTTGATTTTATATTACAACAACTCCAGTGGAACAGTGGAAGTTCACTTTTCGTCATTGTTGCTTTTAAGGATGAGAACTGGAGGCTTCTGGTTTTTCAACATACTTTCTGACACAACAAATGTGTTTCAATAGTCTATGTCATCCGGAAATAGATACCATTCAGGAACAGCCTGAGACAATCTGATTCTTAAAAAAAAAAAAAAAAAAAGTTATTCCACTAATAATTGCACCAATGCTGATTTTGACTTTACTATTTGTTAAAAAGGTGTGTGAAAATCAACGTAATGATATCCAGCTTTTACAGTTGAACTTGGAAAGTGCTCGTCATTCTCTAAAAGAAAGAGTTACCTGGGAAATACCAAGCAGGTTCATATCAAACAGTATACATTATGCAATGAATGCTGTCATCATACTAATAGTATTTCTATGTTGTTGCAGCCAAGACTATGTGAACAGAAGATCAATGGTATCTCACACAGCGATCAACTGGGATATTTCTGTATTTTGTTTTCAAATAACTACTTTTATTTTGTAATTTCCACTGTTAGGATTTAAATGTCCTGTGCAATTGTTCCTTAAAAAAGATTTTAAAGGAACTTGATGAAACAAGTTCAGAACACAGCAGTTGCAGACAGCCGAGGCAGAAAAGTACTTCCTTCATGCACAAGGTAGGAGAGTGTTGTGGATGGTCAGTTGTACCATCATGGATTAAATCTATAACTCTTTGCCTTTTTCATTTGCACTGGGTGTGTTCACAACTCTTTTTTTCTTTGGCAGCAATGTGAATCACCACCACCAGGCCATCATCATGGGACTTGAGAGGCACTTTGTGAACAGTTTTACACAAATTAACCTCAGAAGAAGCTTCAATAAACATTCATAAAGGCAATATTTTAACTTGTGTACTTTGTAATAATTTTCCAAGCTATTTCTATATAACCAACATTAAAGACGCTAGTGTCCAAAGTGGGTAAGGAGTGAAACCTGTCTGGCAGGGCTGACAGTGGTGTGACCTTAGATTGTTTTTCCAGTTTCACGACTTTGCGACGTGATTCAAAGGACGTTTGTAAGCGTACATCTTTTTTTCCAGAGTACATTGGTTAATACGCATTTAGTAGTTTCTTTTATTTATTTTATAGTCAGGGAAACGAACTCAGATCTAGGCTGATTGATTGTTCTCTTTTTGTATCCTATAAATTTAGCTGAGCTGTTGCGCGACGCTGATTTACATTTCTGCAGGCTATACTAGAGGCATTTTTAGGTGCGCCTTTTGGGCAGAGAAAAGAGGAACACTGAAATTTCTGGGAGGACCATTGCAGAAGGCGCATTGTTATTGGTGGTCGCGAGAACGCAGAAAACACAAATAGGCGATACCTGGAGTGTCAGCCAACGCGACGACAGTATTACCATCATGAGTAAGGCAAAGAACAAACCAGAAAAAGAGAAGACGGAAAAGGCCTTGGCTGCGGAAAAGGAGCAATTCAATAAGCAACAGGTAAGTTTTGTTTTATTTTTCATCGATTTAGCATGTGTATTCATTCCGTAAAACAGTAGACCTACTTACCATACCATTAATTGACCATAGATATCATTCGTACACTACTGAATTAAGTCTACTTAAAAATCTACTCTTGGAGTCAAAAGATTTTTTTTTTTTTTTTTTAATCATAAACTCGAACATAATTAGGAAAAAACGTAACTTTTTTATACCTTTCTGCCAGTGTCAAAGTAGTATCTCTGACAGACTTTTACTTTACTACAAATGTAAAAATAATCAAAGACCATTGTGTTCCCTTAAATGATTTTGGAAGATGCTGATATTACAGTAATGTGTTTTTTCTGTTCCAGCTCCAGAGCATCAGTAAAATAGTCAGTACAGCTGAAGTGCCACCAAAAGAAAAATATGTGCGCAGTATCCTCTTTATGTTTGTCTATTACAAACATTGCATTGTATTATTTGCTTAAATTGATGCAATGTTGATCATTGTAACAATATAGTATGGTTTCCTTGACAACTGCAAGATATAATTTTGGGAACTCATAAAGAATCAGGAGCAACAACCTTCTGGTCCTACACCTCAAACTTGCCTTTGTCAAGTAACTCCATGATCAGCTGGAAGTTCTGCTATCTACTGCACAAGGTGCTTAGAGACGGACACAGAAATGTAAGCTTGTGGACATTTAAATGTTATTTGCATTTGTGGCAGAATACATATATTTTTGTAAAGCCAGCATGTCTCCATTCTACAGAGCGTAGCAGACTCCAGCAGACATACCCGGGGAGTGAAAGACATGGGTGTGCTGTGGGTGAGTGGAAATCAAAATGTTCACAGGTACTACTCATAAAATGTAATATGCGATGGTCCCATATTCTTTTTCAGGGGAATTTGCATGATCGATATGGACACATTGTGGCATTATATGCCAAATTTCTTTGCCTCAAAATTGAATTTCATAGCAAGGTAAAACATACATTAAAAATACACATTTATTTTAAAACAAAATAATAATAATGCAGAACCATTACTCGACAGCACAAAGTGATTCCAGGGAACTTGGAGGCCACTGATGAGACCTTAGACAGACTAGCCGGGAGTGACATGACCAGGGTGTAAGGGCTCTGATTGTTCAACAGTGTTATACAGGTGATTATACAAGTAATGATACAAGTCTGATCTATGTATTACAATATTATAGGCTAGATATAACAAATGAACTGCTGGAGTACCTGGATGCTGCTCTTAAAATGGAAGAAACGGGTAAGTGTTTTACAAAATATCCTAAAGTTTCAACCCCTCCTCATATTAATTATGGTCCCATTTTGGCCTGTTCATCTGAAGTTCTGCGGCAATTTGATGCAAATGGAGCCAAATCCACAACTGCCTCTGGTCAATGCAGACTGACTCCTTTGATCCCTCTTATTTTGGACTGCAGCTTTCTATACCACTTCTCTGTTCTGTTGATGTTTAAACTTCACAGCCGTAAGTGAATGCATAAAATTAGCTGCCACTCAAGATGGACTCAACTTCAGTTAAATATCTTATTCCTATTAATTGCAGGTATTGCTCCTGATATTCTTCTTGGGCACAGAGAGAGATTTCGTGACCTGTTCATGAGGTAAATAGCAATGACACACGGTGTAAAAAAGAATCATGAGATGAAAAGGAATTGGCTATAAAAAAAAATCTGATTAACAATGCTGTGTATTTTTTTGTTGTTGTTGCAGCCTCAAGCAGTTCTTCAACAGAGCAAGAGAGACAGAGTTCTTTAAAACATTTATTCAGATCCCAGATCTTCCTGAAGTGAGTATTTTTTAATGTTCATAAAACAGGCATTATGCAGTTTCTATACTGCATTGTTAGATACGGTATTTTAAACAAGTTGGACTTAACTATGTTTAAGTAGTGTTTTAGTAAGCAAGTGCAGACCAGCTAAGGTTCCATTGGAAGTTGTTTTACATGAAGTGTCCCTCATTTAGACATTAAAGTGTATCTTCCCTTCAGGAACCCCCAAACTTCCTCCGTGCAGCTGCTCTGGGAGAATATAAGAAGCCAGTGGTGGTCACTCCAGGAGAAGAACATCTAGAAGAAGAGGAGGAGAAGCAGCCAGAGTACAGAGAGATGCAACAAGTCAGTATTGAACACAGACTGAAATCATGAAATCATCCCCTTACTTTGAATCCATTGGTAATATTTATTTAACAAAATATTTTCAGTATTATTTACTCAGTCAAATGGGAATGCCAGAAGCCCCTACAGAAGAAAAAGAAACAAAGAATAACCCAATGAAAAGAGAGCTAGAGGCCATCAATCCAGAGATACAGCTAATCAAGTCTGAGGTGAAACGTGTTATCCTTACACTCACAGGCTCATGTCAGTAACTGATGTGAATGTGTGACTTATTGTAAATTATTTTAGGCCCAAAAGTGTGTAGTGGAATTAAAATCGCAAGTAAATCGTCTGGAATCTGAACTGGAGGAGCAGCGCACACACAAACAAATGGCTATGGTGGAAAATGAACACCTGAGGATGGAAGTGGAGGCTTTGCGAAGTACCAATGTGGCCAATGCTGGCGCACAGCTTGGCTTTAAAGAAGCAGACAGTAAGTTAGCTGATTTGCTTTAAGATAATTTTAAAAAAAAATGATAATAAAATTACTCTTCTTTTTACACAGGTAGAGCTCAAGCTGCGGAGCTACGATTTGCTCAACTTAAGGAAAGACATGCTGAGCTAGTGAGCAGCCACGCCGATCTCTTGAAAAAGGTAAACTTATTAATATTCAGTAATAATCATTGTAATTTTAGTTGGCTTCATTGTACTGTACACTGTACACATTGTTCTTTCTTTTCCAATGCAGAATGCAGAAACAGTGAAGGTATTATCTCTTACAAAAGAAGACTATGATGACATTAAAAAAACAAAAGAACAACTAGAAAATGAAGTTGAAAATTTGCGCCTGGAAAAAGGAACAATGGTAAATACCTTGTTATTATAAAATAATATACAAATTACATCTTATATTCTACCTTTTTCATCCTGTGTTTGTCAGATGAGTAAACAGCAGGTACAAGTTGACAGTCTCAGTAAAGAATTGCTGGAACAAAGAGCAGAAATGGCTCTATTACGAAGCACCCTGGAAAACAAAGAAAAGGTACCTGATATGTTTATTTTAATGTAAATTCCCCATCTAATAATGCCTGTTTGTATTGTCAATAGGAGGGCTCTCTTGTGAGCAGCAGTTTGGCAGCTCTTCAGGCAGAGTGTGATGTCATGCTACGGTCAATGAGAGAGAAAGATGCAGAGCTTTCCTCCCTGAAACAAGAAGCACTACAGCGGCAGAGCACAGTGGACCTGGAGAGGGACAGACTCCTCAGAGAGATCGAGTCTCTGAAAGCCCAGCTCCAGCAACAGGTACAGTCAGTTAGTACAGTTGGTGTTATAATGCATTCAGAAGTAATCCGTTCATTCATTCGTTTTTCAAAACAAAGCCAAAAATAAGAAAACGAAAAAACAACTATTTTCTTCATTATTTATCTCCAAAACCAAAATGAAAAAACAGATAACAATTAGTTTTTTCAGTTTTCGATGTTGTGTTTAAATGAATAATGGAAAAAGCGGACAACAAGCGTTTCCCGTTTCCGTGACTTAAGGGATGCCGTACTTTTACGGCGCAGACAGACTGAACCAGTACTGAACCAGGATTAAAACAGAAGTAAACCAGGTCTAAACCAGGTCTAAACCAGAACTGAACCAGGTCTAAACCAGGTCTAAACCAGGACTAAACCATTCTCAATTCTGATCTCGGTCCCAATCCTGGTCTTGGTCCCAGTCTGGTCCCAGTCTGGTCCCGGTCTGGTCCCGGTCTCACTCCCAGTCTCAGATCTGTCAGTCCTGATCACCCAACAGTGTACATGAGCGCATCTCTCGGCCCGTCCCAACACTCAGTCCTGGTTCAGTCCTGGTTCAGTCCTGGTTTAGTTCTGGTTTAGTCCTGTTTTAGTCCTGGTTCAGTCCGTATATGGCGCAAAAGTCCGACATTGCAGTTTAAGTCACGGAAATGGGAAACGGCCATTTCGATTTTTTTTGGTTATTCATTTAAACACAAAATAATTTTTGGTTTTAGAGACAAATAATGAAGAAAAATTTGTTTTTTAGTTTTCTTAATTTTGGTTTTACTGAAAAAAGAATGAACGAATGATACATGGATTAGAAAATATTCAGTTCATTCCTTATTCTTGTTTGGAGATAGAAAATAATAGGATTAGGAATAGGATTTTTTTTTTTCTTAAGACCCCTCTACAATAAAAAATTAAAGAGTGACTTGAATCTCTCAGTTCTAGTTGTGATATCTACACCTTCTTTAGATTCCAGTCAGTTTTTGAATTACAGTGTTTAAAAAGGTTGAATCCTCTCTCTGCTAATATCTGAGTGTTGTAAAAATATGAAGCAATTATGGGAGGTCTGATTGCTTACTTACCATCCATCCATCTAATCTATATAATTTTGTGTACAAATATAACTCCATCTTTCTATTACCTTTTCTGAATGCACCGAACATGTGAATGAAGTTGTCTAATCTATAAACTATGAATTACAATTGGTCTAACCTAGTTTTCATTGTACTTTATAGCTGGCCATTAATGCAGAGCAGAAATTAGAGATTGACAGACTGAAACGAGAACTGGAATCTGTACATGCTCAACTTTCTCAAGCAAATGCTGCCCTGCAAAGCAAAGAAATGGTGCGTGTGAATGACTGCCAGAAATTCACTTTTTATGTTGAATATATAGTGCTCTAATCATTTTGTGTTTCATCCACAGTCTGGTACTTACTTGAACAGTACACTATCTGGTCTGCAAGCTGAAAAAGAGGCACTGTTACGCTCTATGAGAGACCAAGAAGCAGAGTTAACTTCACTGAGACAACAAGCACAAGCCCATCAGAGTTTGCTTCAGCAGGAAAGACACAGAAGCAGTATGGAAGTGAACAATCTACAAACACAGTTACAGCAGCAGGTGGTACACGGCGCATAACATTTAGTGGCATGTGTTTTTTGTGGCTAGTCACTTACTGCTTATTTCTGTGGGTGCCAGGCCTATCGTGAAGGTGAACTGTCTCAGAAATTGCAGGACGAACAGTTTGGTTTACTGCAGTGTGCTGTGGTGGAAGCTGAAGGAATCATTTTAGATGCATTGGCCAAAGTGGATGACCCCATACATATACGCTGCGTCAGCTCTCCTGGTAAAATATTTGAACCACAAAACAAAAAAAAAACAAAAAACAAACAAGCAAACAAAAATACTTCCACAACCCACACCTCCACACTCATCACACACACAAAACATGTCCAGTCCTGTCAAGATGTTGAGAAAAGGCTTCTTAATCAGTCATTTTAAAATTGACATTGCAATTCTCTTCATTTCATTTTCAGATTACTTGATAAACAGAGCTCAGACCACTATGGCGTCAATTGACAAAATGCAGCAAAGCCATCTTGTTTACCTTGGAAATAGAAATGGTGAAATACATTGCACCTCATTGTATAATATAGTTTAGTTGTGCCTATGTGGTAAGTTACATCATTACTTTTTGTGTTCAGATGCCAGCGGTCTTTTAAGAGCAGTCACACAGTTTTCTCACCTTGCTGCAGACACTATAGTAAATGGAGCAGCAACATCACATTCTGCTCCCACTGACCAAGCTGATTGTAAGAAATGCACAATAAAATATAAAATAATACAACTAAATAAATAAAAAAAAACACTAATAATAATGTATTGCTTTGTCCTATACAGACCTAACTGAAAGCTGTCGAGAATGTGCAACTCACTGCCTCAACTTTTTGAAAGACATGAAGAGCCAGTCAACTTTGCCGAGAGCAGACCCCGCTGCCATACGCTACACTGTGCAACGGCTTCTTGATATGGGATATGTAATATTATCAAATTATAGTTAGTAAAACTGTTCTGTACTTCTAGTGCATTTTTAACAGATGTTTGATTTATATAGGAATTACGTCCAAAAGGGCAGGATATCTTGCAAGAAGAACTGGGAAATATGGTAGACAAAGAAATGCTTGCAACATCGACTGCCATTGAAGAAGCTGTGTTACGAATGGATGTAGGGAAAATAAATACGAAAATGCTCCTGATTTTCATTGCACAAATAATGTAAAAAAAAATTGTCTATCCTGTTTCTCAGGAGATACTCACTCAAGCCAAGAAAGAAACTTCTGGTGTTAAGCTGGAGGTCAATCAGAGGTACACAGAAGTTTGAGTATTTTATTTTTTTGTTTATTATTTGATTGAACTTTGGCAGACTGAGGTGGTGGTCCCTATGTTTAAGAAGAGGGTACTGGAGATGAGAATCTGACTGATAGTCAAACCTCGGATTCAGGAGGAGCAGTGTGGCTTGTGCACATCCAGTCCACATGTGTTGTCCCATATGTGGGGCGGAGGGTCCGGGCCTGTCCAGTCCCTGTATGACCAGAGCAGGAGCTGTGTGTTCGCAGCAGGTCAGATCTATTCCTAGTGCAAGTTGAACTCCGCCAGGGCAGCCCTTTGTCTTTGGTTCTGTTCATTGTTTTTATGGACAGACGTTCTAGGCGCAGTCAGAGGCCAGAGCAGGTCCAGTTTGGGAACCACAGGATCATCTCGACTGTTTGCAGATGATGTCCTGATGGCTTCAGCAAACCAGGGCCTACAACATGCACTGGGGCTGTTTGCATCTGAGTGTAAAGCAGCTGGGATGAAAATCAGCTCCTCTAAATGCTAGGCCATGTTTCTCAACCAGAGAAAGATGACTTGCCCTCTCCAGGTGGGTGGAGAGTCCCTACCTCGAGTGGAGAAGTTTAAGTATCTCAGGGCCTTGTTCACAAGTGAGGGAAGGATGGAGGGTGGGATTGACGAGAGGATCGGTGTATCAGTGATGCGGTCACTTTATCGGACTGTTGTGGTAAAGAAGGAGCTGAGTTAAAAGGCAAAGTTCTTGATTTCCTGGTCAATCTGCATTCCTACCCACACCTATGGTCATGAATTTTAGGTAATGACCGAAAGGACAAAATTGCAGATCGAAGTTCCCTCTGAAGGGTGGCTGGGCGCTCTCTTAGAAATAGGATGAGGAGCTCAGTCACACTGGAGGAGCTCGGAGTAGAGCCACTGCTCCTCCACGTTGCTCCACTCATGGAGGAACTGTCTTTTGACGAGCCTGGTTATGCCTCTGGGTCCCACTGGATGAACTGGAGGAAGTGTCTGGGGTGAGGGATGTCTGGGAGTCACAGCCTAGACCTCTGCCCCCTTGACCCCGCCTTGGATAAGCGAAAGAAAATGGATAGATGATTTTACTTTCTAACCATATTTTATCTCTGATATTACAGTATTCTTGGATCTTGTTCAGACCTGATGAGGGTGAGAGTGCCTTTCAACAAATGTTTTTATTTTTGTGTGTTTATCACATTTTATTTATTTTGTTACTTATTTCATTTTTATTGCATTTTCCTAGGCTGTTCATATGTTAGTGACTGCAGCTACAGATTTACAAAAAGATATTGTGGAAGGGGGCAGGGTGAGTGGTTATGAATTTTCAGTTTAGTTTGTACAATTGTTTTTGTAAAAGACATTTTACAGTCAAGTCACATTGTTGTATTTTAAAAGGGGGCAGCATCCGTTAAAGAATTTTATGCTAGAAATTCTCGCTGGACTGAAGGTCTTATTTCAGCCTCAAAAGCTGTAGGCTGGGGAGCCACTCAGTTGCTGTGAGTATCAACTTAAGTTCAGACTTCTTAGTCACATGCTCTGTTGTTTAATTATGAAGCTATTTTGTTCTGTAGAGAGTCAGCTGACAGAGTTGTTGGGGAGAATGGTACCTATGAAGAGCTGATTGCCTCGTCCCATGAAATTGCTGCAAGCACTGCCCAGTTGGTTGCTGCTTCAAAGGTACAAAGCATTTAGAGACATTATGTGGCATTGCAGAGTCAAATTTATCACATATTTTCATGTGCCCAGTGTTATTGTTGAATAAAATCAGTAACTCTTTAGTACAAAACTCTTAAATAAGCCTTTGTTTCAGGTGAAAGCTGATCGAAACAGCAAGAAACTGCACACTCTTCAGCAGGCATCACGACATGTGAATGACATGGCTGCTGTTGTTGTCACTTCCACTAAACACGGCCAAAAGCGCTTCAGTGATGCAGGTGTGGACAATTTAGTTGGATGTAAAAACATAACATAGCATATTCAAATCTAACTCTCTTTTTTCCCCTTATCTAGGTATAATGGACTTTTCTGGCATGTCTTTGATTAAACTGAAGAAAGAAGAGATGGAGGCACAGGTGGCTTTCACATATATTGTCATCTCTTGTTTAATGGAAGTTACTAAATGACTTAATACTTTTAATTATAAATGTGACAGGTCAAGGTGCTGCAGCTGGAGAATCAGTTGGAGCGGGAGCGTGTGCGTTTGGGGGAACTGAGGAAAAGACACTATGATCTTGGAGGAGCTGACACAGAGGAGGAGGAGAGCTTCCCACCACCTCCCCCTCCTACTTTACTGGACTCATCAGCAGCACCTCAGCCTAATCTCAGCACTCAAAGCACAACACAAACCAACCTTTTTACACCGACTCAGACTACGTCACATTCCCAACCATACACTCCACCAACAACATTTTCTTCCCAGTCTTACACTCCCCCGCAAACATATTCATCCACTTACAATCAAGCCCAGAACCTCACCCCCTCTACGCCATACACTCCCACACAGCCCTTTGTCCCATCTCAACCCTATGTACCCCCACAACACTACACACCAGATCAACTTTACACTCCCTCTCAAATGTACACTCCAGCTCAACCTTACTCACCTAAATCACAGCGACATTCACAACCATTGGCATCTCAGACTACAGGACAGAACAGCACAAGACTTAAAAAACCAAATATCTTCACCAAATCAGGAAACTTGCTGAAGAATGCTGTAAGACTGACAATAATATTTTGTGTTTATATGTTAGTTTTATATCTAATTATATCTAATCTACTTTTTCTCCCTGCAGTTCAAGAAGGGTGAATCTGGAACTGGAGAATCATCAGGCAATCACTCTTAAAGTAGAACTGATTTGCGTTTCCCCTTTGTGTAAACTAGATTAATACTCTAAAATGTTATGATGCATTGTAAATAATTTCAACATGTTGTACACAGACCCAATTAACAGCATACATTAAAAGATAACTTTTCAGTCCATTCAGTGACCTACAGCGCCCTCCTCTGTATTTTATAGTCTGCGTCATGCGCAATACAAACTGCGATGTCACCACCACCAAGGACCAGAAAATAAAAGTAAAGTTGGATTTTTTTATTTTTATTTTTTTCAAAATGAAATCTAAATATGTGTATCATGTAAGTGCAATTTAGCTATTATTAACAAAGTATTAAGTATAATATTTTACAAAATCTTAAAAATAATGATAACCTGTAAAATCTCTATGAAAGTAACAGATGTTATGACTGTCAGATTTGCCATGGAGTCGAAAGATTTAACCGTTTTTTTGTTTTTTTTAAAAGATCATTTTAAAACATGCTTTTCTATTGTATAGCCTATTTAGTGTTATTTTCTCTACGTTAACACATGGGCCACGTTTTCATAGCCGTGTGTGTATAGGCCTACCATAATGATCTAAGCAAGCACCCCAGCATGTCAAGTTTATGTATGCCTATGCTACATTTTTTAAAGTTCTTCGTTAAACTCACCCACACAGAAAATGCAGCAGTGCAATGCAATGAAACAGTACGGATAACCGTAAACCGTAAACGTAGATAATGTAGGCTTATAGCCCACACAGTGGGCCTATTGTCTCGCTGGAAATAAACGTGTTTATTTGTGTATCATTTCCTTCTCAGTGATGTCTAAACGTTGTTCGCGCATAAGAATTAGATAGGCTTTTATGCCACACGGGCCTAAATAATAGACGTAGTCTACTATTAAGGAGCGTACTTTGAAAAGTCCGACCGGAAACACCACGTGACAATGACTGTGGGTGGTTTTATAGTGGTCACAACAGAAAACGGGAAAGCTTCAGATGGGACGCCGCTAATATGACTCTAAAATAAAGCGTTACAGTTTATATCCAGTACTACTAATAGAAACCCTACAATCAAACTTTTTTCAGCAATTGGATGTTTGGATTTTGACCATTTTGACGTATGGTCGTAAGGGCGCAGAACTTGCGTCAGGGGCGCAGACTAGTCTCTTCTGACCGAGGACGGAAGTTTGCTTTGACCATAGACATTTAAGTGGATAACAGCGGCTGGAAAGTGTTCATGGAGAACTCGGGGTCAGCACTCGAAAAAAATGTGGCCGAACTTACGGTAATGGACGTGTATGACATCGCGGCTGTTGTGGGACAGGAGTTCGAGCGGATCATTGACCAGTATGGCTGCGAGGCGCTGTCCCGCCTCATGCCCAAAGTAGTGCGCGTGCTTGAGATCCTGGAGGTGATGGTGAGTCGCAACAGCATCAGTCCTGAAACCGAGGAGCTGCGACTGGAGCTGGACAAACTCAGAATGGAGAGGATAGAGCGGCTGGAGAAGGAGAAGAAGCATAGAAAGGTCAGTCACAGTGATACTAATTAAATAACATCTAGTTCCCAAAGAGGGATCCATTCCATTCACATGGTGACTGCTATCCAACAAGATTGTGGTTGTTTTCCCATAGAGACTAAGTTAACTGAGGCTAAAGCTTAAAATGCATTATTACATTATATTAATTGATTATTATAGGCCTATCTTTTAACTCCTAGCTCCATATAAGAGTTCTAGCTGTATTTAAGGATTGCATAGGCTATTATTAAGCAGCCCAAACTAACTCTAGGCTAAACGTTTCTTGGCTTAGTTGGCTTGCACACACCACCGCTATAAAAAGTGCATGTGTCAGTTTCTCGTGATAGTGACTGCACTTGTTGCCAGTTGACAAGTACCTTGTGTCTTGTGACCCACAGTCAGTGGGATATAGGATATCACATCTGTAGTCACATCTGTGCACTAGGCCTATATGCAAATGAAGTATGTTGGATGTGGATGTATTTGGTGGCTGGTAGCCTGTTGCTCCAAATATTGTTAATATGGACAACTGTGGCCATACCGGCTTGTCAAAGCCTGATCTCCTCAGATCTCAGAAGCTAAGCAAGGCTGGGACTGGTTTGTGCTTGGATGGGAGAACACTGGAATGATCAGGTGCCACAGTGGAGTGCCACTTGCAAACACTGTTGTTGTGTCCTTAGGCAAGGCACTTCACCCACATTGCCTAGTGTAAAAGTGGTGTGTGCGTGAGTGATGGTGGTCAGAGGGACCTATGGCGCCAATTGGCGGGGCAGCCATGCCAGTCTGCCCAAGGGCAGCTGTGGCTATAAGAGTAGCTTGCCACCACTGGGTATGGAGTAAATGAATAGTGATTTGAAAAGTGTCTTTGTGACAAATGTCTGTGAAAAAGTGCTATATTAAAAAAATAATAATAATAATCTGTCTATAAGCCTGCGCTGGAGGGACCACAACACTCAAGAAACAGTCTCAAGTCAATAACAATGTTATGCACCTTAATGAGGTGAGCAAAATTTTGTGTTTGCTGCATACAGGAACTGGAGTTAGTTGAAGATGTATGGAGAGGGGAGGCTCAAGACCTGCTTTCCCAAATTGCTCAGCTACAGGAAGAGAACAAAACTCTCCTGACAAACCTCTCCAGTAAAGATCCACTGAGTGAGGAGGACTTGCAGAGGCACGAGGGTGAGCAAAATCATTCCCATCAGAATTTCACAATGGCAGTCGCATGAAATCACATACTGTATGATAATGTTATATTTATTTAATCAGTTATTGTCACAGGGTGGGGTTTATTGTAAAACAGCATGTGACAGTGACCAACTTAAATTGTTAAAATTATGGATAAAATAAAATAGAAGGGAGAACTAAAATGGGGTAATCAATAAAAATCAACAATGATTAAAATCTAAAATATAATTTATTACAAAAAAAGCAGGATCTTAAATAAATACAAGGTTAAAATACTAAAACTTGGGGTCATAACTAAGTAAGTTGCTGGGGTAAGGTGTCCAAATGTCCAGGGTTCAACTTCTCACGTGAGGGTACAAAGCACACATGCATATAGGCAGGCAGATTAGGTCAAAGTTCTCTAGCTTGAAGGGGCATTTACGCCACAGGCAAAGCTCACCACTCTGCCACTATGCTTGCTGGGCTTTTAGGGTCAGGGCTGCCTCTGCTGCCATCCTGTGAGGCTTAACCTTCCGAGACACAAACACATAGCAACGATCCATAAGACACAGACAGACCTCTACAGCCATAGGCTGTATTGAGCACCACTAGCTTTATGTGGTTAACACCTTCTCGGTCTGCCCGTGTGTGATGAGTGCTGTGGGGCTCATCCTGAGACTCTGTCTGCTCCTCCTGGTATGTGGCTCCTGGATGCGGCTACATTGTCCCTGTCACACTATTGCACATCACTCCATTTCTCCTCGCTCAGGCTCCAGCAGTCCTTGATCACCGGGTCATCTCCTGTGTGCCTCCTCCATCCTCCATGCTGCCACACCAGCAGCCCATACCTCTAGGCACCAGCGCCCCTTTATCCCGGCTGGTGCCACTAATCCTCTTCCTTCTCTCTGTCCCACTCCCCCACTGGTTGAGAGAACAGTCATGTGATAGACAAGGGAGGTGTTAGCTAAAATCATGCTATTTAAAAACACAACAAACTAAACATGCAAAGGTAAAATTACATTTAAAACAGAACACCATCCAATGCACCATAACATTATTTTGAAATATAAAGGGTTATCCCCTCACACAAATAGCCACACACTCAAAAGAATGGCTGGTCTGTGTTGGACAGATCCCTCTCTGCTTTGACACTGGTTTCATACAGAGGCTGTAGTCAGCCTTTCTAACTGCAGAGGATATCAGAATTCTCATGCTCACCTGCTCCCCTTCCACATGCAAATACATAAAGTTTGTTTTGCATGTGTATATGTTTAAGGAATGACAGAAAGAGAGAAGCAGGTGATGAAGAAATTGAAAGAAGTAGTAGACAAGCAGCGAGATGAGATTCGTGCTAAAGATCGTGAGATTACACTGAAAAATGAGGACATCGAAGCAGTAAGGACCCCACTTTGGCACTCCTCATTCTTCATTCATACGTAGGCCTATTTATAATTAAAAAATCTCAACTACTTTTTACAGCTTCAACAGCAACAGTCGCGTTTAATGAAAATCAACCATGATCTGCGGCACAAAATCTCTGTGATGGAAACCCAAGGAAAAGCAATGATTGAGCAGAAGGTCGAACTGCAGGCCGGCGCCCAGGCACAGTCACAGGAAGTCTGTGCCCTTAGACAGGAAGTTGCACGTTTAAGGGAGCATCTACAAAAAGACCTCCTTGCACCTGATCCCGAAGAACCCAAACCTCTGCCCCCCTCGCCAGCAGAGGTAATGTCAATGTTGGTTTTGAATTTGAAGACGTGTGTTTGAAAAAAAAAACACACAATAAGTCAATAGATTCATTATTTTTCTTATCATCTTACCATAAACCAGTTGGAGTTGAATTTAGATTGGTCTTACAGTGATACTTGATTAAAGGATCTGTCAAACTGAAAGCATTTAGCCTATATAACATGATATAAATGTACAGTAATGCATTAAACTACTAGGTGGATAACAATATCAACTATGTCTAACCTCCTAGCTAAACACAGCTTGCACAGCAACAGGAGCGAATGGCTGCCCAGAAAGAGTTGAAACTTCAGTAGAAGAGGGCCATGCCCTGTGTTTCATGCCTGAAACCTTCAGTACAGAAGGACATAATTCTGGGGAGGAGGAGGAGGAGGAGGAGGAGGAAGAAGAAGCCGTTCTATTTTGGGTAATAGTAAAGTGCCAGCCGAACAGCGTGGTGTGATTTTAACTACAGACTACTTAATTTCCCTTTGTTAGTACATGACAATGTAAGCAGTTGACTTTATGTGGAACATACTTTCACACTGGACCTCAGTGTGTTAGCACAATAATGTTGTGAAATTGAATCTGCATGGGAACTAACAGTGTGAATGACTGCACTGTGGACCCAGACTCAGAATGGAACTGCATGTTAAGTTTGGTCTTCATGCATTTTGATTGTGAGACACTATTGAAGATGCCTCAATTCACAGTGTTAGTTGTTATATTCATAGTTATTATATGGTGTATTTTTGTTCAGTGCATGAGTGATAATTGGCATCACCAGTTTGATATTGCAGAATAGCAATTAGCTATAGGAAAGTGCACAGATTAGCTATTCATGCTAGACCACGAGCTTGCCCTTTGTCACCAGGAGACGATGTGCAATGAAGATATGCCTGCTGTGTTCCAATATTTTACCAAGGTATTCCACCTGCTGCCCTGCTTTCAGTTACGCTGATCTCCTGTACTCTTTACTTTATTTCTCTCTGGTGTAATTTTTCTATAATGACTTGTATCACAGGAGGCGCTCTGTGAAGAGGAACATGGTAATCTGGACCCAAAGGACCCCAATCGGCCACGTTTTACTTTGCAGGAGTTACGAGATGTCCTCCATGAAAGGAATGAGCTCAAAGCCAAAGTCTTTATGTTGCAAGAGGAACTTGCCTACTACAAAAGGTGTGACACACATAGATGTTATGTTCCAAGTAGGTTTGTTTTTGAAATTTACAGTATATTGACCACTATTTTTCAGTGAAGACACTGAAGAGGAGCTTTTTGTTCCAACACCCTCGCCTTCTCCTGAACTGGGTGTACACTCTGGCTCTACTGCCCCACCAGAGTCAGGAATCAAACGCTTGTATGCTACTCTTTTCTCATTGGTGAATTTCAAATTGTCGTGTGCACAGTAAAATCAGTCTTATTAAGAGCACAAGTATGTCCTTTCACAACACTAACAAGGAAAGTAAATATGGCATGGATATGATCATTCACTTCTTTCTGTATGCATGTAAAATCTATTTTCCCTTTTAGTTGAGTTTATGCCAACAGACCATTGTGTAATAGGAAACCAAGCCCCCTCAAACCAATATAGTTGCTATTATTCCCATAATATGCTGTTCAAAAAATTAAAGGGAAACATTGAAAACACATCAGATCTCAGTGTGAAAAAAAAGTTGGATATCTATACAAATACAGTGGTTATCACTGTGTTGTGGAAAAAAATTATATAGATCTCTTGATGATAAATAATTAATCCATTTGCAAAGCCCGATGAGTTTTTGGAATACAGCCAAAAGTTTATTCTTGTTACAGCAAATATGTACAGGGCCTAGGCCTGCCCTGGCCACAAACCAACAGCCTGTCCTCCAGCAGCATGTCCCCTATCACATTAGCCCGAATCTTTGCCCCTGAGTCTTTGCCCCCCAGAGCATCTCCACTGACCATCCCCTCTTTCATCTCCCCCAGAGCATCTCAGCTCTGAGTTTCGGTCCCAGAGCATTTGAGCTCTAAGTATTTATACAGAAATACAAGTTACATACATATCAAAGCAGACTGACTTTTGTTTCACAGGCTTGTCATAAATTAACATACATCTGAGGACAGCTCAGACAACAAAGGGCTTCACATGTTAATGACTGGTCTGGGTCTCAGTTAGAAATCACATTCATTTGGCACTTCCGGATGTGCCGTTGTAAAGTGATTTAATATGTCTCCCAGCACAATCTCCAAAACATGAATGAAATTTCAAGAGACAGGCAGTTAAACTAGGAGACATGGACAGGGCCATTGAAGGTCCTCAAACCATCAGCAGGACCCATATCTGCTCTGGTGTGAATGTCTCTGCCCAAACAATCAGAAACTGCTTTTCACAGATGAGAGCAGGTTCACAAATCTGGAGAAGACAAGGAGAATGCTATGCTGCCTGCAACATGGTTCAGCATGAGCGATTTGGTGGGGGGGTCAGTGATGGTCTGGGGAGATATATCAGCAGTAAAACAGCAATTTGACTGCCATTAGGTATCGTGATGAAATTCTTGAACCCATTGTCAGACCCTACACTGCTGCAGTAGGTCCTGGGTTCCGTCTGATGTGCAACAATGCCCATCTCTTGTGGCAAGAGTGTGTAGGCAGTACCTGGAGGATAAAGGGACTTATCGCCAGGTTGCTCCTCAGACGTTACAGGAGCTCAGTGATGCCCTTGCACACATCTGGGAGGATATCCCATAAGGCACCATCTGTCATTTCATTAAGAGCATGCCACAACCTTGTCCAACATGCATACAAGCACGTGGGGGCCACACAACATATTGAGAAGCATTTTGAGTTGCAGAAATTATCATAAAAGTCAAAGTTTTTGTGAAAAATGTTGCTTTCAGTTTCAGTCATTCTTTTCTGTGTCTTCTGTTTCTGTCTGTCTTTACCTCTATTTATTAGGATCTTCACAGCCATTATGCCGATGGTGGCGGCTGGTTTGATCCCTGACGACCCCACCTTACAGCCAGTCAGGCATCTCAGATCCCTTGTATGACTTTATTTCATTAAATTGTGTCATCTGCCCCTTCTATGGCTATCAAGTGCATGCTCTTCATCATGTATAGAATTCTGATTGGCTGATTGTGGTACCATCGCATTGTACATTCATGGTATATAAAGTAATAATGGGAAGCTGTGAATCAGCCAGTCAGAATAATTAGATGGTAACGTTTAACACTGCCCCATGTTTAGTGTAAAATGGTATTGCTTTGTCGAGACCAGACCTGGGCATTTCACAGCTCCCAGGCCACATATGGCCATTTGGTTGACTCTGACTGGCCCGTTTCACATAATTTGGAATTACAAAAATTACCTCATGCATGGACTAAGCTGCATTGCTTTTACTTTAGAGGTGTTTTTTAAAAATAACATTTCTGTAAGGCAACCTCACTTTTTCATTGCTTAGTCATAACATATACTCTTATAAGTCTTACCAGCTCATCAAAAACAATGCTATTTACTGTTTTTTATAAAGGAATACAATTAATATTATGCAGAATTGAATTAAGCATTTTGGCCCAGCCCTCCACAGTATTTTCTGTTTCTCATGTCGCCCCATGGAAAAAATAAAATATGGTCTAGATACTAAAATGTGTAGATGCCTAATCACTCAGTGTTGCATCTGTGTGTACAACCACTATAACATTAGCCTGTTCTTAATATGACTGATGTTTACTGCACACAACTACCAAACTGCTGTCTGTTTCTTAGCAGTATAGTTTATTTAATACATGTTGTCTTCTTTATTTGTTCTAGGTTTAGTTTTTTCTCACGTGACAAGCAAAGGAACTCCCAGCGGAGTATGCCATTTGGTGGAAGCATCAGCACATGGCCAGGAAGGGATGATGTTTATACTGAGCAAGCCCAAGAGGCACTACAACATTTGTAGTTATTAGGAAAGACAACACGGACAACGCCAAAGCATGGCATTACCATTGCCTGGAGATTTTATGTGGTCAGCTCTATATATAGTATGAGGCACAGCCAGACCATGCAATCTAAAGCTGTTGAAATGAGTTATGAGAAAGGTAAGGCAAGATGCATTGTCTACACTGCTGTCTTCAAATGTGCTAGCCAATGAAGTTCGGATGGAGTCTGTTTGTATTACCTGTGTGCATGGGTCTTCTTCTCTACCCCACCTCAAGCATTTTAGATTATTCTCCAGCCTTTGACACTCCCAAGTGATTTGTGCAAATGAGCTTTTGTAAAACACACAGTATGACCCATGAAACAAAAAAAGTTTAGACATCAGATGGCACTTGATGGGCTACAGCAAATTGCACTAAGTATGTGCTGTGTACAGATAAGTTTGTTTATGGATATTATGGTAAAAACTATGTAAATGTATTTAATTCAATTTAAAGGCATTATTCTTTACTATAGTAATTAACAACTAAAGTCAGTATTATTTTATTACATTTTCAAATTAGACCATGCTATAAGCTACATTAGTTTCAGTTACATCAGATTAAAATGCGTTTTTCTATTGCTTTTCTTTGAAAGCAGTTTATTGTTGGGGCTACATTTTGGTTTTATTAAATGGTTTTATTCCATACATTTGTGGTGTGTTTTTGGGGACTGGGGTATAGGGGTCAATATTTATTTGTGGCCAGAGAGTCATCCATGGCACTTCAATGCCTCGCAAATGGAATTTAAGATTTTTTTTTTTTGTTTTTTTTTTATTCATAAATGTATTGAGGGCACTGTATGTAAGATTTACATCATCAACAACACATGAAGAAGTCATTGCAAATGTTTAAAATTTCTTCACACTAACAAGAAAGTTTTAGTTTTAGTTCTGAGTCAGTGTGTTACACATTTAGAAAAAAATATATATATATATCCTGCTTTAGGGCCATTGTGTCTTTGGCATAAAATAATTAGTTTCAGTATTATGGTTGATAATGAATTGCGTGTTATTGTGACAGGTCTATTTTTAGATAGAGCAAAACTACAAATTATTTTAATTAGAGATTACAAAATGTGTTAATTTGTTTCTTGTTCCAAAGTAATTGCAAAAGAATGCTCACAACTTGTACTTCAGTACTTGCATAATACACATTTATTCAACCCCAGCATTATGATTTATAATACGCTACAACAACAGATCCAAAAGTGGCTAGGTCAACTTTGCATCTACAGATTATTGCATTGTTTGTTCATAAGGAAATTGTGGAAGTGAGAAAGATTAATTATCAGTCATTATCAGTTCAGTTCATAAATATAATGGACTCTTGGTACCCAAATTGTTAAAAACAGGGAAAAAAACAACAACAAAAAACCCCCACAAATACATTAGTCAAAAGGCTCAAGGTCAGGGTAACGTGTAAGATTGCTACTCTCGAAGTATTTCTTGAAAGATAAATATTGAGAAAGTCAACTGATATAATGCACTAAAAATATACAAATGTGATTTGTGTATTTATTATTTTTAAAAAGTAGTTGTGTGGTTATTTATGATGCACTCACTGCAATTAAACATTGAATTTAACCTGCATTAAATGGCTGTAGCTGTATGAGCTGTTAGAGGTGAGGGAAAAATACTAGTAATAATGGAATAGACATAGTATACAAAAATTATGTAAAAGGCAAATCGACCTGTTCAATAAAAAGTAAATTCTTAAAAACAATTCCTATCCAGTTCCTATAAGACCTACTAATTTCCATTTTAGTTCATCACCACAGATAAGTCACATTTCAGTGAAATGCTTGGGAGTTAAAAGCATGTGAATTTTGAGTGGAACAATTCACCATATTTTGTGTGTAAAACAAAAAAGAAATGTGTGCAAAAATTTACATAACTGACAATGATATTCGTTACGTAATGCTTAAGTTTAAGTATAAATCATGTTCCTTCTATTGGGAAAATAATTGCCCCGAGACGGTGTTTATAACAACACTGACTGCATAATGTTAAATTGTATCTTAAGTTTATGAACTTGCATAACTTTTAACTAATAATATCAGTGTCCATTCAATTTATCAAGTTACTTGAATGATATATATATATATATAATTATTATTTATTTTTTTTACACTGATTTATAAAAAGTGACTGGCAATAAATAATGTAAAAATTTTACTGGTTTGACCTTATCTTAAGACAATACAATAAAAACAGATATTATAGCTAATGACTTAAGGATTCTTCTTTTCATTCTGTTCACTGTTAATTGTTTATAGTTCAGATGGGCAATAGATAAAGGCAGTGCCTTTTATTTTTAAACTGATACCACAGAATTTTGTGAAAGGCCATTAGGTTGATAATTTCGGCTTTTGGGTAATCGTATGACACTATGTTGTTACTGACTTCTAATTAAGAAAAAGCTGTATAAAAATGCAGAGCAACTACCCTGGATGCTGTAGTTGCACTGCTCAGTGTATAATAAAAAAGTACAAAAACTGCAAAACAAAAGTTTTTGTTTACATAAATAAACGTACTTCTTGAGAAATTACCCTAGTACCATGTCACCAATTCTACATCTATAACACATACTTAATCGTTTCCTAGCAATTGAAACAAAAAGTACATTCTGTTTCTAAGGCATTTAGCTAAAGAGAGGTTTTACTGACATTTTCCCTTTCTTTAATAATATAATATCACTCTTTCAGCCATGGATGTGCTGCTATTGAGGCTTTACTGCGGTCTCCGTAGTCATACAGCAACTCCTCCCCTTCGTCAATGTTTCGTGAGGCAACAAGAATGAGATGAGGAACACCATTGATGTCATGGAGTTTAGTTTGGCAGTTTCCATTTTTACTGTGATTTATCAACCTACCCATCCGACCAGTCTCTTTTGTGGCATCCACACTGTTGTTAAAGAAAAGAAAAAAAGAAGTTAAAGCTGGATTAAATTAGATATGATATATCAAAATTAAACACATTATGTGTACTTCAAATGTACAGCTGCTGTTTTGAAGTTTAATTGACTTAAGGCTGCATTTGTGTCTAGCTAAGAGTTAAGGCATTCAACATACCAATATGTCTTGCATAAATACTGGAAGTAATACATGTAGCAGCCAGTTGCCGGGTTTTGTGCATATTCTGCCTCCCTCTTTTTGGCATCAGTTATCTGCAACAAGTCTCCATGGTACTCGACCACATATTCTCCTTTTAGGAAACTTCTAGTTGCAAATACTGCACGGCCCTTTCCTTCGATTTGCTGGACCTTAACAAACATGTGGGTTAGACTTCATTATGATAATCATGATCTGTTTATGTTAAGCATCAAGAGTGTAGAAAGGAGCATGCACTGTACATATTCTGTAAACAGTCTATGGAAGCAGCTCAAACTTAAAAATACATTAAATTAAAAAGTGCAGCAGCTACCTCCATTCCTTCCTCTATTCCATTTATGATGAGTTCATCGATGTGTTTTTTATGTTCACACTATTAACAAAGTAAAACAGGTCTTAACATTGATACATGGTAAATGAACAGGCCTTCTGAAATATTTTGTCACCTGGAGCTCTGTTTTACTTTTTCTCGAGCTTCTTCTTATTGGATAGTAGTCTGTAACCTTACGATTCTGTGAATTCTTCCTGGGTGCACTGCAGAAAGAAACTATTCAATTTAATAGAATTTTCTAGGTCAAAATAAATATGAATTTAATTTGTTAATATTATTTATACAAATTATGCCATGAAATATTCTCAACATTACTCAAGTAATTCAAACATGCAAATACATCAGCAGCTACAGAACATCCAGGGGGTGTGGAGAAGTCTCAAGACTATCTCAGGCTTCAAAGCACCTCCTGCTCAGATGGAGGGGGACCTGCAGTGGGTGAATGACCTCAACTCTCACTTCCTGAGGTTTGTTCAATCACCCACTCCTCCCCCCACCCAGCTGCCAGCTCTCACCTCCCCATCTGGACAATGGGGAAATCCTGCACCACCTCTTCACACCTCTGCTCTTCAGCCCACCACTACACATGGACTCACCCCTCCTCCCAGCCTGCCACTGTCTTTTTCTGCAGCCCAGGTGAGACTGGAGCTCAAGAAAATTAGACCCAGGAAGGCAGCAGGACCAGACGGCATCAGCTCCAGGCTCCTTAAGTCCTGTGCAGACGAACTGTGCGGTGTTATGGAGCATGTCTTCAACATGAGCCTTAAGCTGAGGGTGGTACCGCGACTCTGGAAGACCTCTTGCGTGGTACCAGTGCCTAAGACACCACACGCTAGAGACCTCAGCAGCTTCAGGCCGGTGGCTCTAACATCCCATCTGATGAAGACACTGGAGAGACTGGTCCTTGGTCACCTCCGCTCCACCGTGAGCTCAGCGATGGACCCGCTGCAGTTTGCATACCGGCCTGGAATCGGAGTGGAGGACGCCGTCATCTACCTGCTGCACCGCTCACTGTCTCACCTGGAGAACCCCGGCAGCACTGTGAGGATTCTTTTCTTTGATTTCTCCAGTGCTTTCAACACCATCCAGCCACTGCTCCTGAGGGACAAGCTGGAGACTGCCAGTGTGGACTGTGACCTGGCAGACTGGATTCTGGACTACCTTACAAACCGGCCCCAGTTTGTGAGATCCAAGAACTGCGTGTCTTGACCTCCTGACTGGCAGTGTGGGGGCGCCCCAGGGCACTGTCCTCGCGCCCTTTCTTTTCACCCTCTACACTGCAGACTTCAGACACAACACGGACAGCTGCGTCCTGCAGAAGTTCTCTGATGACTCTGCCATCATTGGCTTCATCAAGGATGATAATGATGTGGAGTACAGAGGACTAATACAGGACTTTGTGGACTGGTGTCAGCAGTACCACCTCATCATCAATGCAGAGAAGACCAAGGAGATGGTGGTGGACTTTCCGCAGACACCACTCTACTGCCCCCTCAGTGAACATCCAGGGAAGGGACATTGAGAGAGTGGACTCATATAAGTACCTGGGTGTTCATCTGAACAATAAACTGGACTGGACTCACAACACAGATGCACTGTACAGGAAGGGCCAGAGCAGGCTCTATCTCCTGAGGAGGCTCAGGTCTTTTGGAGTGGGAGGGCCACTCCTGAAGACCTTTTATGACTCTGTGGTGGCATCAGCCATCCTGTACGGTGTGGTCTGCTGGAGCAGCAGCATCACAGAGAGGGAGAGGAAGAAGCTGGACAAGGTCATCAAGAAGTCCAGCTCTGTCCTGGGCTGTCGTTTGGACTCAGTGCAAGAGGTGGGGGACAGGAGGGTCCTGACTAAGGTCATCTCTATGCTGGGCCATGAGTCTCACCCCCTGCAGGACGCTTTGTCTGCTCTGGAGAGCAGCTTCAGTGACAGACTGATTCACCCTCGCTGTGTGAAGGAGAGGTTTCGCAGGTCTTTCCTTCCTGCTGCTGTCAGACTCTACAACAAACACTGTTAACACTGAACATGTGCCAGTCAATTATATCCATGTGCAATTATTTTAAGTCTATTTTTAAATTATTTTTAAGCTATTATTATTAAGCTATTATCTGTGTTACCTTTTCCTGCTGTTCTGAAATTGCGCGTTGCAACACTGGAATTTCCCCACTGTGGGACTAATAAAGGCATATCTTATCTATCTTAAATTATCTTATCAAACCATAGATGTCTGTAAATTAAGTTATGTAGGAAAAGACACAAAAAGAGAAAAATCATACAATACACCCACAAAAACAGTTTGTTGGTATTAATGTTTCAAGACTCTTTTTGTATAAACAGACAAATTTATTAGATTTTTGGCCCATTCAGCCACTCTTTTTTCCATAGGTTTTTGATAAGATTGAAGTTAAGTGATTGCTTGGGTTATTTTAGCAACATGATTTTATACATACAATACCCAATACACTTGTGGATTATAGTTTCAACATTGCTCTCTAGAATTTTCAGAAATTTCTGAAATGCTTCTGTGACCTATGCAGATAAATTTTAGGTGGTGCTTTAGTTTTCTATGTGTTTTTGCACCTACATTTTCCATGTCATTTCAAATTATTGCACATAAAATACTGTAAGACATATGCTATTATTTGCATGTGTGGATTACTTGAGCAGTTACCAGTTTTCAGTAGGACCTTTAGAAATAAAAAAAAAAGATGATGCAGTTAAAACCATTTCAATAAGTACCTTTTAAGTGCTGATCTTCTTTCTTTGTTGTAAACTCTTCGTTTCTGGTGTTTGCCCTGAGGGTTTATATTATTGTTGTTGTTGCTGTTGGTATAAAAAAAACTTTGAGACAAGGCTGTTACAGCGGAAGGGGGATGAGAGCAACTCAACACATCTTGTTGCCGCTGTATTGAACAATTGCTGCTTTCTGTCAGGTCTGAGCTCAAGTCTTTTGCTGCCATGGTAAAAGGTTTTGGTCCTCTACCTGTAAAAAGTAAACAAGTACAGCTTCAATTATACGTTTCCAAGAATTGTTATTACAAAATAACAAGTGCTACTTACTTTCTTTAATTTCCTGGGAGTGTAGTGAAAACTGTATTTCCTTATTGATCTTTTTTTCATCATGAACTAATAGTGTCTGAGTGTGGCCTATCACTGTGATGGAATGGCTGTTACGAACAACTTCCTGTAAAGGCATACAAGCAAATGCTATTAAAACCTGAAATGTGGTGTATTTGGGAGCACCAAAGACGCTGTGTAAGTCAGTTTATTAAACTCTTCAAAAATTGTATTTATAAATCCAGACTGTTCCTAGGGCTCTCGAAAGTCTGAGATCTGATGTCCAAAAGGTGGGCATTTAGTATGAATTCCTTCATCCTCCAGGAAGTCCACTGACCACAAAAACACAGGGCATTTTGGGTCATCAGAAGGAACCCAAAACTTACTATAATACCAGCACAGGGTCTTCCAAGAGGTTGAGGATTTCATTCCATGTCATGGCCGTCAGGATGTCCTCTCTTTCATGTGACTGTTCCATTCCTCACTCACCACAAAACTAAATATGCTCAAGGATGTAACTGGCAACTGACTATGTCAGAGCCTTACCCTCACATGGGCAAGGTGAGCCAACTGCTTAGGCCCCCCTAAAAGCTAGGCCCGGCCCTGGTCCATGCGTTCCAGTCGGCCTTGGAGGTCGTAACTCGAATTTCGGAATGATAGACCCCCATTAAAGGGTGGTCCTTTAAGCATACTGAACAGTATTATCCCCGTTTACATTGATTGACGGTAAATAAGATTAAAGTTGTAAAGTAACTTATCCATCATGCAACTAAAATAAAAAATATAAAAATGTAAGTGTGTATATGGTACGTATGGCTGTGTAGATTAGCCAATGTTAGCAAGTACACACATTATAAGATTTGCTGACAACACTGTTTTTTGCGATCACAGTTAAAGAGAAAATACGTTATCAAAGCTTCATTTTAAAAACTCATTGTCATTGTCTTTTATTAAATAATCTATGCAACTTTACTTATGAAAGCGATACATAGACATACAGGAAAACTTACCCCATTCATGTCCTACTTGTTTTGCAGCTCCTCTAGTCTAGCTTTGCCGTATAAAAATAAATAAAATATAAAATTATAATCAAACTAGGCAGAATAACCTTGATTCGTCCATGTATAATTGTCTTTTTAAGTATGTCCTTGAGAACCCCAATCCTGCTTTAGTGTCTCAAATATAAGCAGATAAATCGGTACAACAGCTTGCGCCGTCTCTCTCCGCCATTTTTGCACGAGTCTACGTCAAGCTCGAGGAAAACTACACCCCCTTCTGGTCACGGTCACTCACCTTTTTTGTGAAAATCTTCTGCAATAGAATTCTAGCAGATGGGATTATGCACTACAAATTAAAGCGGTAATTGCAAATCGTTGTCTGCTTGAGGTCTGCTTAAATATACAAATTATATTACTTCTACTCATGTAAAATGTTCAGCTCTCCAAATGTTTAGAAAAAAGTTAAAATCTGCAGGCTGAAAGGATACTTGCACTTTCGCACACTTGCAAATGTGACAGTGGCTTGATTGATTACCACACAGAAAATGACTAACTACGTCTGAATGTAAACATTTGGGATATAAATACAATACTTTCACAAAAAATAAGTGTCACAAGAGGTTGGCGTTCAAGTGAAATTTTCAGATCTCTTTTAGGGGATATGTAAATAGTTTCCACTCGGTTTCACAAACAGCACATGTGGCATGGACAAACTTTTGAAAAAAACAAACAAACAAAACAAAAAGACAAAACAAAAAGCCCTCCTCGCCACAAGGCAACAAAAAAATACTACCAAGTTCTACTTGCGTCACTTCCTGCCTAGCCCTCGTTGTATCACGTGACGGCACATTAGCTCGCTGACTCTGCTATGTTAGTCGTTTGTCATAGGGTAGATAAAATGCTAAAAAACTCGCTTGTGTTGGTTTATTGTCGTCGACGGATGCATTGTAACCGACAGAAGATACCTTTCTTCCGACTTCCGACAGCGTGGTGGACTGTGAAACCAGCAGCTTTCGGCCTACTCGTCACGTGACCAACATGCGGCGGAGCGTTTGATAAAAGATGGCGTGAGCTGAGCGCGTTGGTGTGAAGAGGACAACAAACCGTGACAGCACCTCTCAGAGCGAGCTGCTCAAACCACCCCTGTCTGTGGTGAGTAGATTTCAGAAAGGGCATTTCTCAACAGTCACTTAGATCTTCCACGAATGTAACTTTAAAGCGTGTCAAATTCCCATAATTTAAGCGTTTTTAATGTTTGTGTTCGAGGATATCGTAGCTTAGCGCTAGCTTCGTTCTAGGGACTTGCTAACGTTTGCTATCAGCGGCAATGACACAGTGAATAAAGTAACTCACGCATTTTATTTCAGATGAACAATTTAAATGTAATATATCTTGCTCCCCTCGATTTATCTAACACACACACACACAAACATATATTTCTTTTTATGTATCGTTAACTGTTGCACCACATTCAAGTTTGTTAACGGAATCTTTGACAGGCTTGACTTGAATTGTGTGATGATCAATATCGCAGATAATAACGCATAAGTATGATGCGACGACCCATAATCCATAATCTCCAAGGTAAATTATCACTGTGCAACGTATTTGCTACAAAATACAAAAGCTTCTTTTTCTGTTGCGAAACACAATATGTGCCCTTCTGTTTATGCATGACAGGCACCACTTAACTGTTAATAAGGAAAAGTTGTTATGTGTGGTTGTTTAATGTTTGTTTTTATTATGTACGTGCCTTTGTTGCTGTCAGCCTTGTAGAAAGTTACGTCTGGCCGAAGCAACCAGGAAGTGAATACGCCAAGAGTCTTTAACACGTGCCCTGTTACGGGTCACTTTGAAAGTCCTCATTAACAGGGGCGGCAGAATTAAAAACCGCTCTATGTCAGTGGTAAAAGTACAAAAGTCATTTATAACGTTAGTATATTTTAAGTCCATCACAGACTGTTTAACTCAATGACAATCGTGCACCGGTATAATGGGATCAACCTTATACCGACGAAGACGAGTAATAATTGTGACTCTCCATTATCCTTTTTAGCTATTCTGTAGTACTAATAATAGTATGAAGTACTTCATACTAAACCAAAATCAGCTGTATTGAGGAGCCGAGTTTGTTGACAGTCTCTGCATTGTTTGAATTTACACGTGATTAGTAGTTTTTACAAAGTCAGTGTGATATCAAGTGTATTATTGGGTTATAACCGAGATTATTTTATGTCTTAACTACACTTTTTAAAAAACATAATTTGCTATATTTTCTCCGATTGCAGATGGATCCTGGGCAGGATTTGCTTCTCGCAGCTCTCAGTGAGAGTGGCATTTGTCCAAATGATATAGGGGTGTTTGATGTTGACTCCCAAGATGTTGGACAGCCGTCTAACGCTCAACAAGTAGGTTATTCATTTACTTTTTTTATCATCTTTTATTTATCATTGTGGTCTAATGGGATTTACCATTCTTAGTCTATCTCTATCAATGCCCTGGATGTTTGTTTGGGAACACAGCCTTTGGAGGTCTGTCAACCCGAGAACCCATCACCAGTCCCAGTTGTTTCAATCAGGGTAAGAAAAGCGTAGTTTTGGTTTTTAGTTGGGTTGGAACTTAGAAAATCCCTAGTGTGTTCTTTAGTCCATAACACCACTTGACCCTTTTTGTCTTTTTGCTCAGTTTTGAAATTGGTTGAGATACTTACATACACATAGGCACAACATATTGTATTTCTCTTAAATGGATTCATTCAAAATCTGCATTTCAGTTGTCCTCCTTAGATCAGAGTTTGTAAATTTTTGGTCTTGGAATTGCTACCTTTAAAATTTGGCTAGCATTTCAAAACCCTCAGAAAATCCACCAGAGAAGTTTTTTTTTTTTTAAACTTGCACACTACTGTCCACCTGCTGATTTTGGACCAACTCCAGCTCAGTTTTGATCTCTTTTGCTAATGTTGCTGACTAATGACAACAAAAATTAATAATTTTCTCTGGTGTATAAATAATAAACTTCATTGGGTTCACATGCTGTCAATGTTCCCAGTCCAACTTTAACTGTATTTATGTTCAGAATGATCTGTAAGTTTGGTTAAATTAAATTTACTACAGCTCTGCTTTCTTTGTTGCTGTAGAAACCTCAGCCATCAACAACCACATTTGTCTTAAATCAGCTAAATCAGCTGCCATCTCTAGGAGCGGTTGTGACAAAACACTCCGTTTCAAATCCTATCAAACACACTATAACTGTGACCAAGGTGGTTCATGTGGCCAATTCAGCACTACGAGGTTCATCTACATCATCTGCAAGTGTTTCACCACTGACCACAGTGCCTTCTAATAGAGAGCAGGTATGTCCTCATAAATCTCTATTTGGGGAAATGCTGTGCAAGTAATTCATTTTCTTTTTCCTCAGATTCAGTTAAAAGACCTCCTTAGAGCAGGGAATGTGAAAAGCACACACTTGAAAGGGAACAGTTTAATGGAGCTTATGAAACTCAAACCTCCACCTGACATTGCTCCACCTGTGGCAACTGCAACCTCTGCTGGAAGTGAGTTTATTATGACTAATCAACTTGAACGGTTACAAAATGTCACACTGGGGTAACATTAGCTCAATAAATAGCACATTTGTCCACCAACGGGCTGTTTGAATCCTGCTCACACCAGGGCATACTGTAGTTGTGTCATTAAGCAAAACAGTTTATCCAGTATGCTATGCATGGTTAGTGTTCATAGGGGGGTGAAGGAGCAGAATGGCTGCCTTGCTTGGCCAGTCTATCCCAGAATAAAGCTTTGTGAAGCTGTTTGATTATCCCAAAGTAGCTGTAAATTTAATTCCAACCTGTGCATGAATATTCTTGACTGACAAGTGTTGGCTATATGCTGTGTGTAAATCTAATACTGGATTTATAATGTAGAAAAAAAGCTTTGACCCCGTATTTTAATGTGTAGTTTAATTTTCAACATTGCCTCTAAGGACTATAAAACTGTCAAGTCTACCATACCTCTCTCCCTAATAAAAGTGTGATGCATAGCTGTATCTAAATAATAATAAATATTTATTTATTTTTTAGATGAAGTGAACAATGGAATCAAGAAAGAATTAATGAATAAAGACACTCCCAGAATCTGGGTTAATGATGAGTCCAGAGTACCATCTTTTCAACTAGTAAGTATTGTAAAATATAATTTTTATTATATTTTAATGCGAGGCCATTTACATATGCCATCACTGATTATAGAGACCTCCTGGTTTGAAAGAAGATGATGAACCAGAGGAGGAAGATGAAGAAGAGCTGGGTCATGCAGAGACTTATGCTGAATACATGCCAATGAAATGTAAGAGGAACTGTTAGGAAATTGGAGCAATTAGCAATTTTTCTTTTCTCATCAAAAACATTTTAATGGATTTTAATATTAGGCTTTATGAATATGAACAATGTCGACCTTTTAATTTGTACCATTTTTAACAATAAAACAATCAACTGTATTAATTCATAATCTGGAAAAATGCTTTTACTTCCACGGTATTCACTGCTAGACCTCAATCATTACTTTTCTATCTCAATTTGATTATAATTTAGCTATTTTAAATTTTGTTTCTTTAAAATGGTTCATCCTTTTCATTTTTTCTTCAGTAAAAGTCGGTCTGAGACATCCAGATCCTGTGGTAGAAACTAGTTCTCTGTCAAGTGTCAGCCCTCCAGATGTGTGGTACAGGCTTTCAATCCCAGAAGAAGTCATTGATAGAGGATGTCTGTCAGCTTTACAACTGGAAGCAATCACATATGCAGCACAGGTAAAATCCTTTTTGTGTAATAGTGTTTAACTAACCTACTTTACAGTGTACAGTAACTTGACCCTGTGCTTCAGCAACATGAAACATTTCTTCCCAATGGCGAACGAGCTGCTTATTTGATTGGGGATGGAGCAGGTGTAGGTAAAGGTCGGACCATAGCAGGAATCATCTATGAAAATTACCTTTTAGGCCGGAAGCGCTCTCTTTGGTAAATATCCAAATTGCTATGTACATCCTTTATTAAGATGCCATAGAGTCTCCTGCATGTCTCCGTGTTGTCTTTAGGTTTAGTGTTTCAAATGACTTAAAATATGATGCTGAAAGAGATTTAAAAGATATTGGTGCTAAGAATATTCAGGTCCATTCGCTAAACAAGGTAATGAATAAATAAGTCTTACATTATGTGGTGCATTCATGTCTGTCACATTTACAGCATTCTATCATTTTCAGTTTAAATATGGGAAAATCTCCTCTAAACACAATGGAAGTGTTAAGAAAGGTGTAATCTTTGCAACTTACTCGTCCTTGATTGGAGAAAGTCAATCAGGAGGAAAGTACAAGACACGATTTGACCAGCTTCTTCACTGGTGTGGGGAAGATTTTGATGGAGTCGTATCCTTTTATAAACATTATGCTGTAGATTTGGCCTATTTGGCAAAAACATGGGATCACATCTACAGAGACATTGATTGACTTAATTCAATTCAAAGATTGTTTATGATGAATGTCACAAAGCCAAAAATGTGTGTCCAATTGGATCATCTAAACCCACTAAAACTGGACTGGCTGTGCTTGAGCTGCAAAACAAACTTCCGAAAGCTCGAGTTGTTTATGCTAGTGCAACAGGTGAGATTTTTGCTTGTGTCCCCTGCCAGATTTATTTTAAGAAACTACTTAAAGACTGTGTTATTATTTAGGTGCTTCAGAACCAAGGAACATGGCTTATATGAATCGTCTAGGCATCTGGGGACATAAAACACCTTTTAAAGAATTTGGTAACTTCATCCAAGCTGTGGAACGCAGGTTTGTTAAATTTTCTTTTTACGTACTTAACAAATGTAATTGTAACAACATATTTAATCTACCCCCACCACCACCACCTGCCCCAGAGGTGTGGGTGCAATGGAGATTGTGGCAATGGATATGAAACTCAGGGGGATGTACATTGCACGGCAGCTCAGCTTCACAGGTGTAACATTTAAAATAGAGGAGGTTCCACTGAGTCCAAAATACATTAAAATGTATAACAAGTCTGTCAAACTGGTAAGTATGCTCTTAATTTTTAAGTTGACTTCATTATGTTTTTTGTTTTTTTAAATTTGACTTTTATCCTAGTGGGTAAGTGCACGTGAAAAGTTTCAACAAGCAGCTAATCTGATGGATGCAGAGCAACGGATGAAAAAGTCTATGTGGGGCCAGTTTTGGTCTGCCCATCAGAGGTTCTTCAAATATTTGTGCATTGCCTCTAAAGTTCGTAGAGTGGTGCAACTTGCTAGAGAAGAGGTTCAGAATGGAAAGGTGAGACACTTTTGAGGTGTTCTTAATATCAATAAAGCTTGTAGATGTAAGTTTTTTTGCAAATGCATTTCACATTGGTCAGAGGCTAAAACATTGTTTCTGGTAGTGTGTGGTGATTGGCCTTCAGTCTACTGGAGAAGCAAGAACTCTCGAGGCATTGGAAGAAGGAGGAGGAGAGCTTAATGATTTTGTTTCAACTGCAAAGTAAGGCTCAGCTTGCAGACATGTGGAAGGGGGTCCGTCAGTGAAACATCACATTGGAGTCTTAATCTAATATACTTTATACTTTTTCAGAGGTGTACTTCAGTCTCTCATTGAAAAGCATTTTCCAGCACCTGATAGACAGAAACTTTACAGTCTGCTTGGAATAGACATCCCTGGAAATAAAATGTCAACATCGGGCAACAGTGTCACTGTGTCTGAACAAAAAGGCAAGAAAAGAAAAGGTAGAATTGCTAAATGAATAAATTGATCTAGATTTAAAAGCTACTTCAAAAACAAGTATTGCTTTCTCAGCTACAGAACCAAAGAAGCCAAAAAAGAAACCTCGTAAACACGGAGGCCTTTCGGGCACTAGCTCAGACGAGAGCCAGTCTGAAGCTTCTGACAAAGAGTCTGAGAAAGAGGCAGACAGTGATGACAGCTTTAAGTCTGTTAGCTCTGCTGACGACGATGATTTTAACCCTTTCAGAGAAGAGTCTGATGATGATGACGAGGATGGTGAGAACATCGATAAGCTTCTGAGTGTAAAAATTTATGAATGCCACATGTAATCCAAAATTCTATGCTTAGATCCATGGTTAATCAGAAAAGAACCCAAAAAAGGGAAGGAGAAGAAGAGGAAAAAGAGGAGGAAAAGTGTTGATCCAGACTCTATTCAGAGTGCCTTGTTGGCCTCTGGGCTGGGGTCTACTAGACCTGCTTTCACCTCTGTGA